GGAATGATAGAATGCTGGAATCATGAAGTGTGATGGGATGCTGGAATCATGGAATGATAGAATGATGGAATATGGAATGATAGAATGATGGAATAATGGAATCATGGAATGCTAGAATGATGGGATGGTGGAATCATGGAACCATGGAATGGTGGAATGTGATGGAACGCTGGAATCGTGGAATCATGGAATGCTGGCGTAGTGGAATGATGGAATCATGGAATGATAGAATGCTGGAATCATGAAGTGTGATGGAATGCTGGAATCATGGAATCATGGAATGATGGCGTAGTGGAATGATGGAATAATGGAATGATAGAATGCTGGAATCATGAAGTGTGATGGGATGCTGGAATCATGGAATGATGGCGCAGTGGAATGATGGAATCATGGAATGATAGAATGCTGGAATCATGAAGTGTGATGGAATGATGGAATCATGGAATGATAGAATGCTGGAACCATGAAGTGTGATGGAATCCTGGAATCCTGGAATGCTGGAATGCTGGAACCTGCTCTCCCCTGTCCCCCAGGTTCACCCAGAACCTGTCGGCGTTCCGGAGGGAGGTCAACGACTCCATGAAGAACTCGAGCTACGGCGTCAACAGCAACGACATGATGAGCTGACAGCTGCAGGGCCCGGCCCAGGAACGACCCCAGGGCCTCCCCGCCCGCAGGGAGGAGGGAGCAGCAGGTGGAGCTCACCTGGGCAGGTGTTTTCCCGTGGGAAGGGCAGAATCCAGGTGCAGGAATTCCAAGGTGTCTGTGTCTCTCTTTTTCCTTCCCTGGCCGGAATGTGGAACCGGCGGCGCTCCGCTGCGAAAAGCCTGCCTTGTATAAAAACAAAACAAAAAAAAAAACAAAAAAAAAAAACAACAAAACAACAAAAAAAAAACATGTACATTTTTTCATAACATTTTGGAGCAAGGTTTATATTGAGTTTCAGAAAAACAAGATTAAAAAAAAAACCAAAAAAAACACGACAAAAAAACTGCAAAAAAAATCACAAAAAAAAAAAAACACACAAAAAAAAAATCGAAATGATGATAAAAAAAAATGACAAAATGATAAAAAAAAAAAAAAAACAAAGTGTGATTGAAATTTTTACAGAGTCCTGGTGCACCCAGTGCTGGTGTGAGGGTTGTGAATGCGAGTGAGGAAAGCGTGGCCTGAAGCTTTAGTGGGCGAGGGGGTGGCTGTGTGAAAGTGCAGAGATCTATTTAGTGAGACAAGCTGTAGAGAGAGAGAGAAGCAAAAACTCAAACAACACAAAAAAATAATAAAAAAAAACCAACAAAAAAAAAAGATTAAAAATAATAATAATAATTAAAAAAAACCACCACAAAAAAAAAAAAAAAAAAAGGCATTGTAAAATTCCAAATGTATATTTTTTCTTATTAAGCCCCCCTCAAAAATCACAATTTCCCGGTCCCGTCTCGCCCTCGTTCTTGGGAACTCGAAGCCATGACGTGACCCCTCCGTTCGTGCTTGCTCGTGGGTGTCCCTCCTGTCCCCTCTGTAGCAGTAGCCCCTCCCAGGGCCCTCTTTTCCCCTTTTTCCATCCCTTTTTTCCCATTTTTCCGGGCTGGAGCGGGGGCTGGCGGCAGCGCGGGGCCTCCCCGGGGGGGTTCCCAAAGGGGGAGCCCCGAGCACCCCCTGGCAGCAGCGAGGCCCCTCCTCCTGCAGAGCCCCCCTGAGGATGCTGGGGATGGGGAGGGACCCCAAAGGCCGGGATCCAGGGGAGGGAGCCCCTTTGCCGTGTACCCCACTATTGTTGCTGCTAGTCGTGTGCACCCTCTTGCTCAGCTCTCCCAAAAACACTCGGGGCCTTTGAGGGCTTCACTTTCTCCTCCCAGACACTCTTATTATAATTTTATTTTTTTTTCTCTTTTTTTTTTTTTTAATTTTAGTTTTGTTTTGGTTTTTTTGTTTTTTTTTTTTTTGTTGTCGATTTTAATTTTATTTGGTTGGGTTTTTGTTCGTTCCCTTGCCCCCCTGGTGTGTGTTGGGTCCTTTCCCGCGTGAGCAGATGCTGGTTGATGTCGGGGTGTTTGCTGCAAACAGTGTAAGCATTGTGACTGCAAATAAACTCAATGGTTTCTACTGAGCCGCGCACGAGTGGCTGAGACCCCCAGGGACCCCGAGAGTCACCCCAAAAGGACCCCACAGTGACCCCTGAGGGACCCCAGAGGGACCCGGAGTGACCCCAAAGGGACCTCCCATTGACCCCGAGAGTGACCCTGAGGGACCCCACAGTGACCCCACATTGACCCCGAGAGTGACCCCAAAGGGACCCCTGAGGGACCCCACAGTGATCCCAGAGTGACCCTGAGGGACCTGGAGTGACCCCACAGGGACCCCAGAGGGACCCCCCATTGACCCTGAGAGTGACCCTGAGGGATCCCACAGTGACCCCACAGTGACCCCTGAGGAACCCCACAGTGATCCCAGAGTGACCCCTGAGGGACCCGGAGTGACCCCGCAGTGACCCCAAAGGGACCCCACAGTGACCCCTGAGGAACCCCTGAGGGACCCGGAGTGACCCCAAAGGGACCCCCCATTGACCCTGAGAGTGACCCCCAAAGGGACCCCACAGTGATCCCAGAGTGACCCTGAGGGACCCCACAAGGACCCCAAAGGGACCCCAGAGTGACCCTGAGGGACCCCAGAGTGACCCCAAAGGGACCCCTGAGGGACCCAGAGGGACCCCACAGTGACCCCTGAGGGACCCTGAGAGGGACCCCTGAGGGACCTGGAGTGACCCCACAGGGACCCCCCCATTGACCCCGAGAGTGACACAGGGACCCCAGTGTAACCCCACAAGGACCCCTGGGGGACCCCAAGAGTGGCCTGAGCCCCCAGGGACCCTGGAGGGACCCCAGAGTGACCCCACAGGGACCCCCTGAGGGACCCCACAGGGACCCCAAGATTGGCCTGAGCCCCCTGAGGGACCCGGAGTGACCCCAAGAGTGACCTCACAGGGACCCCAGAGTGACCTCGAGAGTGGCCTGAGCCCCTGGAGGGACCCGGAGGGACTCCAGAATGACCCCTGAGAGACCCCACAGTGACCCTGAGGGACCCCAGAGTAACCCCACAGTGACCCTGAGGGACCCCAAGAGTGGCCTGAGCCCCAAGGGACCCCACAGAGACCCCTGAGGGACACCAGAGTGACCCTGAGGGGGAGCCTTGAGGGACCCCACAGTGACCGTGAGTGACCCCAAGAGTGGCTGAGCCTCCTGAGGGACCCTGAGTGACCCCAAGAATGGCTGAGGGACCCTGAGTGACCCCCACAGTGACCCCAAGAGTGGCTGAGCCCCCTGAGGGACCCAGAGTGACCCCCATGGTGACCCCACAGGGACCCCTGAGAGGGGCCTGAGCCCCACAGGGACCCCTGAGAGACCCTGGAGTGACCCTGAGGGACCCCACAGTGACCCCAGAGTAACCCCGAGAGTGGCCTGAGCCTGAGGGACCCCAGGGTGACCCCTGAGGGACCCCACAGTGACCCCGAGGGACCCCACAGTGACCCTGAGGGACCCCTGAGAGTGGCCTGAGCCCGAGGGACCCCTGAGGGACCCAGAGCCCCAAGAATCACCCCAGAGTCACCCCAAAACCCTGAGAGTGTCCCCAAAACGCTCAGAGTCCCCCCAGGGCCCTGAGAGTGGCCCCAGAACCCAGAGATTCACCCCAGAACTCTCAGCTCCTCCTCAGAACCCCAAGATCCCCCCAGTCCTTTCCCTCAGGGTGATTTTCCCAATCAAACCCCAAAATCCCCCAAATCCCACTGAATTCGGGGGGAGACCCTTGGACCCCGAGCCGAACCCCAAAACCCACCTGGACTGACCCCAAATTCTGGGAGTTTGAGCCCATTTTAGGGACAAACCTGAAAGGGGATGGGGGACCCCAAACTGGGATTGGGATTTTGGGATTTCAAACACAGACCCCAAACTGGGATTGGGATTTTGGGATTTCAAACACAGACCCCAAACAGGGACTGGGATTTTGGGATAACAGAGACCCCAACACCGGGATTGGGATTTTCAAACAGGAACCCCCAAACAGGGATTGGGATTTTGAGATTTTTGAACAGGGACCCCAAACTGGAATTGGGATTTTCTAACAGGGACTCCAAGCAGGAATTGGGATTTTCAAACGGGGACCCCAAACTGGGATTGGGATTTTTAACAGGGATTGGGATTTTCTAACAGGGACCCCAACCAGGGATTGGGATTTTCAGATGGGGACCCCAAACTGGGATTGGGATTTGGGGATTTTCAAATGGGGACCCCAAACAGGGACTGGGATTTTTAAACTGGGATTGGGATTTTGGGATTTTGGTCCCCAACCAGGGATTGGGATTTTCAAATGGGGACCCCAGCCAGGGATTGGGATTTTCAAATGGGGACCCCAAACTGGGATTGGGATTTTGGGATTTTCAAACAGGGACCCCAAAGAGGGATTGGGATTTTGGGATTTTCAAACTGGGACCCCAAACTGGGATTGGGATTTTCCAATCTTTATTTGCAGCTGGAGGGGGCAGAGGCAGCTCTGACCTTCCAGAACCTTCCAGAGCCTGGGAATGGCCCCGTTTGTCTTGGTTTGGGGTTATTGGGGAGAAAAATTCCTAAAGGGGTTTTTTAAAAAAGCAAATTCAAGCAGCCCCTCTGCTGAAGTGGTTTGGGAAAAAGATTTCCTTGGAGAAAAGTGGGAAAAACTGTTCATTTAACAGGAAAAATAAAATTAAATCTAATTTAATTTAATTTTAAAATAAATTAAAACAAAATTAAATTAAATTACATTTTTAAAATAAAGTAAAATAAAATATAAAATAAAATATAAAATAAAATATAAAATAAAATATAAAATAAAATATAAAATAAAATATAAAATAAAAAATAAAACAAAGCAAAATAAACCAAAATAAAATAAAATTAAATTAAATGAACAATATTAAACAATAAAAACTTTTACTGTTTTAAAAGAGATGAGAAACTCAGACAGTCTCTTCTTGTGGGTTGCAGTTTGGTTTATTTCATTTTTTATTAAAAAAAATACTGGAAATGTGGTTGAGGTTTTGGGGGGTTTTGGGGTGTTTAGATTTAAATAGGTTTAAAAAAAAAAAAGGAAAAAAAAATCTACAGCTTGGGGAACTTTTAGGATTTATTAAAATAATTTTAGGATTTATTAAAGTCCTTTTAGGATTTATTAAAGTCCTTTTAGGATTTATAAAAATCATTTCTGGATTTATAAAAGTCATTTTAGGATTTATTGAAGTTCTTTTAGGATTCATTCAAGTTCTTTCAGGATCTGTTAAAGTCCTTTTGGGATTTCTTGAAATCATTTTAGGATTTCTTGAAATCATTTTAGGATTTATTGAAGTCCTTTCAGGATAACTGAATTCTTTCAGGATTTATTAAAGTTACTTTATCATTTATTCAAATTCTTTTAGGATTTATTAAAGTCCTTTTAGGATTTATCAAAGTCATTTTAGGATTCATTAAAGTCATTTTAGGATTCATTAAAATAATCTTAGGATTTATAAAAGTTCTTTTAGGATTTATAAAAGTAATTTTAGGATTTCTAAAAATCATTTTAGCATATATTGAAGTTCTTTTAGGATTTATTTAAGTTTTTTACGATTTATAGAAATCTTTTAGGATTTATTAAAATCATTTTAGGATTTATTAAAGTCATTTCAGGATTTATTGAAGTTCTTTTAGGATTCATTGAAATCCTTTTAGGATTTATAGAAATCCTTTCAGGATTTATTTAAGTTCCTTTAGGACTTATTGAAGTAATTTTAGGATTTATTAAAGTCATTTTAGGATTTATTAAAGTCCTTCTAGGATTCATTAAAGTTCTTTCAGGATTTATTGAATTCTTTCAAGATTTACAAAAGTCCTTTCAGGATTTATTTAAGTAAGTTCTTTTAGGATTGGAGTCCTTTTAGGATTTATTAAAGCTCTTTTAGGATTCAGTAAAGTCCTTTCAGGATTCATTAAAATCCTTTCAGGATTTACTGAATTCTTTCAGGATTTGTTAAAGTAATTTCAGGATTTACTGAATTCTTTCTGGATTTATTGAAGTCATTTCAGGATTTACTGAAGTCCTTTCAGGATTTATTGAATTCTTTCAGGATTTACTGAATTCTTTCAGGATTTATTGAAGTAATTTCAGGATTTACTGAATTCTTTCAGGATTTATAGAAGTTTTTCAGGATTTATTGAAGTCATTTCAGGATTTACTGAAGTCCTTTCAGGATTTATTGAATTCTTTCAGGATTTATTGAATTCTTTCAGGATTTACTGAAGTCCTTTCAGGATTTATTGAATTCTTTCAGGATTTACTGAATTCTTTCAGGATTTATTGAACTCTTTCAGGATTTACTGAATTCTTTCAGGATTTATTGAAGTTATTTCAGGATTTATTGCCGTTTTTCAGGATTTATTGAATTCTTTCAGGATTTACTGAAGTCCTTTCAGGATTTATAGAAGTTTTTCAGGATTTATTGAATTCTTTCAGGATTTACTGAATTCTTTCAGGATTTACTGAAGTCCTTTCAAGATTTATTGAACTCTTTCAGGATTTATAAAAGTCCTTTCGGGATTTATTGCAGTTTTTCAGGATTCATTACAGTTTCTCAGGATTTATGAAAGTCCTTTCAGGATTCCTTGCAGTTTTTCAGGATTTCTTTCAGGATTCCACCCCGTGGTTCCTCTCCCCTGTCTCTGCCCCCCTGCCCCTGCTGTGCACGTGTTCATTGCAGCCCTCCCTGTTCCGGGCGATCTCAATGGCCAGGAACTGGATCCTGGTGGCTGCAGAGGGGGACAGGGGTCAGGGTGGGGGCTTTGGGGTCCCCCCAAGCCCCCCCAAAGACCCCAAACCCACCCAGGATGGAATTTTCCTCCGAGTATTCCCCGCGCGAGTCCAGGCGCAGCAGAGTCCCGAAGTTGAAATCCTCCACCACGCCCTCGAAGCTGAGGCAGAACGGGCGCCACTTCTGGGGGGGGAAAAACACCCTCAGTACCCCAAAACCCCAATAAAACCTCAATAAAACCCCAATAAAACCCCAATAAAATCCCAATAAAACCCCTCAAACCACACTAAAACCCCCCAAACCCCTCCAAGTCTTGGCCCCGTAGCTGAAATCCTCCACCACGCCCTCAAAGCTGAGGCAGAACGGGCACCACTTCTGGGGGGGGAAAAACACCCTCAGCACCCCAAAACCTCAATAAAACCCCAAAAATCCCAATATAAACCCCCCAAAATCCCAATAAAACCCCTCAAACCACACTAAAACCCCCCAAACTCCACCCAAGCCCTGGCCTGGCCTAGTTGAAATCCTCCAACATCCCCTCAAAGTGGAGGTGCCACTGCTGGGGGTTAAAAACACCCTCAGCACCCCAAAACCCCAATAAAACCTCAATAAAACCCCAATAAAACCCCAATAAAATCCCAATAATACCCCCCAAACCACACTAAAAACCCCCAAACCCCACCCAAGTCTTGGCCTGGCCTAGTTCAAATCCTCCACCACGCCCTCGAAGCTGAGGCAGAACGGGCGCCACTTCTGGGGGGGGAAAAACACCCTCAGCACCCCAAAACCTCAATAAAACCTCAATAAAACCCCTCCAAACCACACTAAAACCCCAATAATACCCCCCAAACCACACTAAAACCCCCCAAACCTCAATAAAACCCCCCAAACCCCACCCAAGTCTTGGCCTGGCCTAGTTCAAATCCTCCACCACGCCCTCGAAGCTGAGGCAGAATGGGCACCACTTCTGGGGGGGGGAAAAACACCCTCAGCATCCCAAAACCCCAATAAAACCTCAATAAAATCCCAATAATACCTCCAAACCACACTAAAACCCCCCAAACTCCACCCAAGCCTTGGCCCGGCCTAGTTGAAATCCTCCACCATCCCCTCAAAGTGGAGGTGCCACTGCTGGGGGGTTAAAAACACCCTCAGCACCCCAAAACCCCAATAAAACCCCACCAAACCCCAATAAAACCCTCTCACAAAACCCCACACACTGCCCTGGGGGGAAATCCCAATAAAACCCCCCCCCAAAGTCCACCCAATCCTTGGCCTGGCCTAGTTGAAATCTTCCACCACCCCCTCAAGGCAGAGGCGCCATTTCTGAGGGGTTAAAAACACCCTCAACACCCCAAAACCCCACTAAACCCCCCCCAAACCCCACTAAAACCCCCTCACAAAACCCCATCCACTGCCTTGGGGGGAAATCCCACTAAAACCCCCCCAAGTCTTGGCCCTGTAGCTGAAATCCCTCACCATCCCCTCAAAGAGGAGGCCCCATTTCTGAGGGGTTAAAAACACCCTCAGCACCCCAAAACCCCAATAAAAACCCCTGAAAACCCCACTAAAACCCCCCCAAACCCCACTAAAACCTCTCAAATCCCACCAAAATCCCCCAAACCCCACCCAAGCCTTGGCCCCATAGTTGAAATCCTTCACCATCCCCTCAAAGTGGAGGCAGAATCACTTCCAGGGGATGGAGGAGTTAAAAACACCCTCAGCACCCCAAAATCCCACTAAAAAAGAGGGGAAATCCTACTAAAAAGAGGGGAAACCCTACTAAAAAGGGGGGAAATCCCACTAAAAAGGGGGGAAATCCCACTGAAACCCCACCCAAGCCCCGGCCCCATTGCTGAAATCCTCCAGCACCCCCTCAAAGCAGAGGCACCACTTTTAGGGGTTAAGAAAACCCTCAACACCCCAAAATCCTACAAAAAAGGGGGAAACCCCACTAAAACCCCTCAAAACACCCAAGGTTTTTGGGTTTTCTAGGGTATTTTGGGGGTTTTTTTTGGCTTTTTGAGAGTTTCTTTGTGGTTTTGGCTTTTTTCAGGAATTTTTTTCAGTTTTGGGGATTTTTGAGGTATTTTGGGGGGTTTGGGGTTTTCTGAGGTATTTTTTGGGTTTTCTGAGGTATTTTTGGGGGGTTTGGAGGTTTGAGATATTTTTGAGGTTTTTTTGTTTGTTTTGAGGATTTTTTTTATTTTTTGGGGGATTTTGGCTTTTTGGGAGTTTCTTTGTGGTTTTGGCTTTTTTGAGGAATTTTTTTTCAGTTTTGGGGATTTTTGAGGTATTTTTGGGGTTTGAGGTTTTCTGAGGTATTTTTTGGGGTTTTCTGAGGTATTTTTGGGGGTTTGGAGGTTTGAGATATTTTTTGAGGTTTTTTTGTTTGTTTTGAGGAATTTTTTTTATTTTTTGGGGGATTTTGGCTTTTTGGGAGTTTCTTTGTGGTTTTGGCTTTTTTGAGGAATTTTTTTTCAGTTTTGGGGATTTTTGAGGTATTTTTGGGGTTTGAGGTTTTCTGAGGTATTTTTTTGGGGTTTTCTGAGGTATTGAGGTATTTTTGGGGGTTTGGAGGTTTGAGATATTTTTTGAGGGTTTTTTTTTTTTTTTTTTAGAATTTTTTTTATTTTTTGGGGGATTTTGGCTTTTTGAGAGTTTCTTTGTGGTTTTGGCTTTTTTGAGGAATTTTTTTTCAGTTTTGGGGATTTTTGAGGTATTTTGGGGGGTTTGGGGTTTTCTGAGGTATTTTTTTGGGTTTTCTGAGGTATTTTTGGGGGTTTGGGAGGTTTGAGATATTTTTTGAGGCTTTTTTGTTTGTTTTGAGGATTTATTTTTTTTTGGGGGGGGGATTTTGGCTTTTTGGGAGTTTGTGGTTTTGGCTTTTTTGAGGAATTTTTTTCAGTTTTGGGGATTTTTGAGGTATTTTTGGGGGGTCTGGGGTTTTCTGAGGTATTTTTTTGGGTTTTCTGAGGTATTTTTGGGAGTTTGGAGGTTTGAGATATTTTTTGAGGGGTTTTTTTTGTTTGTTTTGAGGATTTTTTTTTTTGGGGGGGGGATTTTGGCTTTTTTGAGGAATTTTTTTCAGTTTTGGGGATTTTTGAGGTATTTTGGGGGGTTTGGGGTTTTCTGAGGTATTTTTGGGGGTTTGGAGGTTTGAGATATTTTTTGAGGTTTTTTTTGTTTGTTTTGAGGAATTTTTTTTTATTTTTTGGGGGGATTTTGGGGTTTTTCTGAGGTATTGTTTGGGGTTTTTTGAGGTCTTTTTGGGGTTTGGGGTTTTTTGAGGTATTTTGGGGTTTTTTTGAGGTCTTTTTGGGGTTTGGGGTTTTTTGAGGTCTTTTGGGGTTTTTTTGAGGTATTTTTGGAGGAAACCCCACTAAGAAGGAGGGAAACCCCAGTAAAACCCCCCCCAAACCCCACCACACCTCCTTGGCCGCCTCCGATTTCAGCTCCTCGGGGTCCAGCACGTCCACGCGCAGGTTCCGGAAGGTTCTGCGGAATTCCTCATAGATCCTCTCGTCCACCTGGGTGAGCTTCAGGAACTTGGGCTCCACGGAGGAGATCAGCTGCAGGGGGAGCATCAGCTGGGACACCCCAAAACCCCACCCCAAAGTCCCAAAACCCCACCTCAAAACCCCCAAAATGCCAAAAACCCCAAAATGCAAAAACCCTGCCCCAAAATCCCACCCCAAAAACCCAAAATGTCAAAACCCCAAAGCCCCAAAACCTCAAAGCCCCAAAATGCCCTAAAACCCCACTCCAAAATGCCAAAATGTCAAAACCCCAAAGCCCCAAAATGCCCTAAAACCCCATCTCAAGACCCCAAAATGCAAAAACCCTGCCCCAAAACCCCAAAGCCCCAAAATGCCAAAACCCCATCTCAAAATCCCAAAATGCAAAAACCCCGCCCCAAAACCCCCAAAATCCCACCCCAAAAACCCAAAATGTCAAAACCCCAAAGCCCCAAAATGCCAAAACCCCAAAATGCCCAAAAACCCCATCCCAAAACCCTACCCCAAAATCCCACCCCAAAAACCCAAAATGTCAAAACACCAAAGCCCCAAAATGCCAAAACTCCAAAATGCCCTAAAACCCCATCGCAAAACCCTAAAATGCAAAAACCCTGCCCCAAAATCCCACCCCAAAAACCCAAAATGCCCCAAAACCCCAAAGCCCCAAAATGCCAAAACCCCTAAAACCCCATCTCAAAACCCCAAAATGCAAAAACCCCGCCCCAAAACCCCCAAAATCCCACCCCAAAAACCCAAACTGTCAAAACCTCAAAGCCCCAAAACCCCAAAATGCCAAAACTCCAAAATGCCCTAAAACCCCATCGCAAAACCCTAAAATGCAAAAACCCTGCCCCAAAATCCCACCCCAAAAACCCAAAATGCCCCAAAACCCCAAAGCCCCAAAATGCCAAAACCCCTAAAACCCCATCTCAAAACCCCAAAATGCAAAAACCCTGCCCCAAAACCCCCAAAATCCCACCCCAAAAACCCAAACTGTAAAAACACCAAAGCCCCAAAACCCCAAAACGCCAAAACCTCAAAATGCCAAAATCCCACTCCAAAACCCCAAAACCTTAAAACCCCACCCCAAAACCCCAAAACCAGCAAACCCCACCCCAAAACCCCAAACTCACGTTGAAGTAGACCTGGGCGTGCTGATGCGCCTTCATGGCCCAGGCCAGCTCCACACGGGGCTGGGCAGCACCAGGGACACCTGGGTCACCTCTTGGGGACAAATGTCCCCTGGGGGGGTCCCCTGTCCCATTTTGGGGTCCCCCTCCCCGTTTTTGGGGTGTTCTCCCCGCTGTTGTGAGGTTTTTCCTGCCTTTGGGGTTCCTCTCTTCCCCTTCTGGGTTTTTCTTTTCTTTTTGGGGTTCTCCTTCTCCCAGGGGACAAGGGTGGGACCCCCCCTGCTGGGACTGAGGGCCCCAAAAGTGGGACACCCCCAAATTGGGACCTCTGCCTGGACTGGGGGAACCCCTAAAACTGTGATCCCCCAAAACTGGGGACCCCTCCCAAGACTGGGACCCCTCCCCAGATTGGGGGAACCCTCCAAAACTGGGGACCCTCAAAACTGGGACCCTCCTGGATTAGGGGAACCCCTCCCAAAACTGGGACTCCCCAAAACTGAGACCCCTCCAAAACTGGGACCCCCTCCCAAAACTGGGATCCCCTCCCAGGACAGGGACCCCAAAAGTTGGAACCCCCAAATCTGGGGCCCCCCTACGAGGACAGGGACATTCCTCTGTGGACTGGGACCCCCAAAATGGGACCCCCCAAAACTGGGACCACCTCCCATGATTGGGACCCTCCTGGATTGATGGAACCCCCCCAGACTGGGACCCCCCCCTGCCAAGGACTGGGACCCCCCCAACACTGGGATCCCCCAAAGCTGGGACCCCTCAGCTCTGTGACCCTCCAGGACAGGGAACCCCAAAGTTGGAATCCCCAAATCTCAAACGCCCCACGAGGACAGGGACCCCAAAGCCGGGACCCCCCTCCCAGGACAGGGACCCCCCCTGCCAGGACAGGGACCCCCCCCCCAGGACAGGGACACCCAGGGCAGGGACCCCCAAATCTGGGACCCCCTCCCAGTAAGGGCCCCCAGTCCTCCCCAGTGCCCCCATTCCCAGTCCCACCAGTCCCCATTCTCAGTGTCCCCAGTCCCCCCAGTAGCTCGTGTCCCCAGTCCCAGTCCACCGGCCCCACCACTGTCCCCAGTGTCCCCCCAGTGTCCCCCCAGTGTGCCCATTCCCAGTCCTGCGAGTCCCCCCAGTCCCCCTCCGTGTCCCTTCAGTGTCCCCCCAGTGCCCCTATTGCCAGCCCCCGCAGTGTCCCAGTGTCCCCCCACTGTCCCCATTCCCAGTCTCCCCAATCCCCCCAGTATCCCCAGTGTCTCCAGTGTCACTCACTTTCCCAGTCCTAGTCCCCTCCAGTGTCTCCAGTCCCCCCAGTGCCCCCAGTCCAGCCAGTGCCCCCAGTGCCCCTATCCCAGTGTCCCCCCAGTGCCCCCATTCTCAGTGTCCCCAGTCCCAGTCCCCCGGCCCCATCACTGTCCTCAGTGTCCCCCCAGTGTACCCATTCCCAGTCCTACGAGTCCCCCCAGTCCCCCTCTGTGTCCCTTCAGTGTCCCCAGTCCCCCCAGTGCCCCTATTGCCAGCCCCCGCAGTGTCCCAGTGTCCCCCCACTGTCCCCATTCCCAGTCCCCCCCAGTCCCCCCAGTCCCCATCCCCAGCCCCCCCAGTGTCACTCACTTTCCCAATCCCCCCAGTTCCCCCCAGTGCCCCCATTCCCAGTCCCCCCAGTTCCCTGTGTCCCCATTCCCAGTCCCCCAATCTCAGTGTGTCCCCAATCTCCCCCAGTGTCCCCAATCCCCCCCAGTGTCCCCAGTCCCCCCAGTATCCCCCCAGTGTCACTCACTTTCCCAATCCCCCCAGTTCCCCCAATCCCAGTCCCCCTCAATCCCCCCAGTTCCCCCAGTCCCCCCCAGTCCCCCCCAGTCATCCCATTCCCAGTCTCCCCCAGTCCCCCCAGTGTCCCCCCAGCGTCACTCACGTCGTTACCGAAGCTCTCCGCGGGCAGCGACAGCGCCTGAGCGGCCGCCGCGGCCTCGCCGGGACCCTGCGGGGACACGGGAATGCGACACCGCGGGGACACGGGACAAGGGACACGGGGACAGAGCCCCCAGCGCCCCCAGGGCCACCCAGTCCCCCCCAGTTCCCCCCAGTTCCCCCCCGGTCTCACCAGCCCCGCCAGCCCCGCCGCCGCCATCGCTGCCGGAAGGGGAGGGGCACCGGGACGGGAGGGGACAGGGGAGGGACAGGGGGGGACACGAGGGGACAGAGGGAAGAGAGGGGCACACGGGGGCGATGGGAGGGACAGGGGAGACACGGGGGGGGAGAGAGAGGATACGGTGGGACAGGAGGAGATGGGGGGGACACGAGGGGACAGAGGAGGATGGTGGGGACACTGGGGGGGACAGAGAGGGACAGAGTGGGGAGAGAAGGGGACATGAGGGGTCGGGGGAGGGACAAGGTGGACACAGAGGGGAGGGGGGGGACAGAGGAGACACGAGGGGACACGGGAGGGACACGCAGGACCGAGGGACGGGGGGGATACGGGGGGACAGAGGGGACACGTGGAGCGGGGGAGGGACAAGGGAGGGACAGAGGGACTGGGAGGGACACGGGGGGACAGAGGGGACAACGGGTGGACGCCTGGGGCAGGGGGGGATCAGGGGAACACGGGAGGGACCCGAGAGACAGGGGGACGGGGGGACACGGAGGGACACGGGACAACAGTGGGGACATGGAGGGACACGGGGTGACATCGAGGGACACGGGACAACACGTGGGGACATGGAGGGACACGGGGTGACATCGAGGGAACACAGAACAACACGTGGGGACATGGAGGGACACGGGGTGACATCGAGGGACACGGGACAACACGAAACGCACACGGAAGCGCAGGACACGAGGGGACATGCAGGACGGGGGACATGAGAGTGACATGGGGGGACATTGAGGGACAGACAGGACAACACAGGACATGCGGGGGACACGGGGTGACATGGTGGGGACACGAGGGGGTCACGGAGGGACATGGGGGGACATCGAGGGACATAGGGGGACACGGGGGGACTTGGAGGGGACACGTGGGGACACGTGGAGCATCGGGACACGAGGTGACATGGAGGGGACAACACGGAGGGGACACGCGAGGCAAGGGGACACGGGTGATGCGAGGGGACACGGGAGAACATCGGGGGACACGAGGGGACATGGAGGGGACACAGATGACATCGAGGGACACCCAGGGCACGGGAACGCTCAGGATGGGGCCACCACCAGCGGTGTCACCACACGGTGACCTGTCACACAGCATGGGGGGGGCTCCCACGCTCATTAACCCCACACCTGAGCAGTTAATTAATTAATTTAATTAATTAATTACCAGCGCGGCTGCTCCTAATTGCCCTCGGGGAGGGCGGTGGGCGGCGTCCCTGTGACCCCATAAATGCCGCTTTGGGGTGGCCCCGCTGTTTGTGGGGTCCCGAACCGCGGCGCTGCTTTGGGTGAGTGTTTGGGGCCGGGGGGAGGCGCTGAATTTTGGGGATTTTCCCAAAATTTGAATTTTCCCGCAGCTCTCTCTGTGTGTGTGTGTGTGTCCCCTCCCCAGGCTGTGCCACCCCCGAGCCGTGTCCCCTCCCCAGGCTGTGCCACCCCCGCCATGTCCTTCACGGACAGCACCGACAGCGGCTCCGACAGACCCGTGTCCGTCCTTTGGGGTGAGTGCCGCCCCCTCCCCAGCCCAAACCCCCCTCCTCAGAGTGTCCCCCCCCTGCCCGGGGGGACCCGGGTGTGGCTCTGTCCCCCGCTGTCCCCGCAGGGTGCGAGCTGAGCAGCGCCAGGAGCTCCTGCACCTTCCGAGTGACCGAGGATTGGAGCTGCGAGCAGCAGCTGGTGCTGCGCACGGTGAGCGACCCCAAAAATACCCCAAAAAAACCCCTAGAACCCCCCCCAAAAAAATACCCGCCAAAACCCCTCCAAAAAATACCCCAAAAAAAATCCTGAGACCCCAAAACCCAAAGAAATACACCCCCAAAAGGAACCAAAAAAACCCCCTAAGACCTAAAAAATACCCCCTAAAAAAACCTAAAAACCCCTCAAAAATCTCAAAAAATACCCCCAAATTACCTTACTAGGACCTAAAAAAATATCCCTCAAAAAAACCCTAACCCCCCCAAAACTCCTCAAAAAATACGAGACCCCAAAAGCCAAACAAATGCCCCTCAAAAAAAACTCTATGACCCAAAAAATACCCCACAAAACAACCCTAACCCCTCCCCAAAAAAATCTCAAATTCTCAAAAAATACGCCCAAAAATAACCCCTCAAAAAAACCCAAAACCAAAAAATACCCCCCCAAAAAACCCAATAAATGCCTCAAAAAGCCCAAATACCTCAAAAAAACCGCAAAAAAATACCCTAAAAAAAACCTCTCATACAGGGGGGGTCATTCTTCCCACGGCCTGGGATTAATTCTGTGTTTAATTAAGGAATTAATTGGGATGTGGGAGCGGTGGTGGCGGGGCAGGGAGGGGGTGCTGGTGTCCCTCATACCCCAAATTCCAGCTGCTGCTCGGGCTCCTGCAGGGATAAACTCCACGTTCTGCCTGGCCAGGGGCTCCCCTCACCCCCAAACCCCAATTTCGGGGTTCAGGCCTCATTTTAGGGCTGCCCTGAGGGGGTTTTCTCATTTCCCTTGCCCAGGTGTGCCTGGGGGAGGCGGCCCGGGATGAGTTCCACGTGCTCGAGGTGGTGGCCGAGGACGGCGACAGCTGCGCCCCGGTGCCGCTGGCCACGCTGAAACCCTCAGTGCTGCCCATGGTGAGGCCGGGGGGGCTCGGGGCTGGCCCGGGGGAGCTCCGGGGATTGTCCCGGAGAGGGCTCGGGGCTGGCCCGGGAGAGCTCCGGGGATTGTCCTGGAGAGGGCTCGGGGCTGTCCCGGGGGGTCCAGGGTCTGTCCCGTGGAGAGATTGGGGGATTGGGGGCTCCTTGGGGGCACCGCTCCTGTCCCAGGGCGGGCTTGGGGGGCTGGAGGCTGCTCTGGGGGCTGTCCCGGGGAGGGTCCGGGGCTCGGGGAGCTGCCCCTGTCCCAGGGAGGGTCCGGGGCCTGGGGGCTGTCCCAGGGCTGCTCCTGTCCTGGGGAGGGGTCTGGGGGCTGCCCCAGGATGGCTTGGGGGGGTCTGGGGACTGCCCCTGTCCCGGGGAGGGCCTGGGGCTCTGGGGGCCGCCCCTGTCCCGCGGAGGGGCCTGGGGGGCCGCCCCTGTCCCGGGGAGGGCTCCAGGGGCTGCCCCGGGGGGACTCAGAGGGTCTGGGGGCTGTGCCGGGGGCGGCCCCTGTCCCGAGGAAGGGCCTGGGGGGCCGCCTCTGTCCCGAGGAGGCCTCCAGGGCCTGAGGGCTGCCACTGTCCCAGGGAGGGGTCTGGGGGTCCTGGGGGCTGTCCCCTGTCCTCCATCTCCTCTCTCCCCCTGTCCTGCGTGTCCCCTCGTGTCCTGTGCTCCCCGTGCTGTTCTCTGTCCCTCGATGTCCCTCCCGTGTCCCCCTCCCACAGGCATCCCCTCATTGTCCCAGCCTTGTCCCGGGGAGGGTTCTGGAGGCCGCTCCTGTCCCGGGGGCTGTCAGGAATTGTTCCCACCCCCATTTTCCAGGCCTCGCTGGCCGGAGTGGAGCTGAGCCCCCCGGTGACCTTCCGCCTTCGAGCTGGCTCCGGGCCCCTCTTTGTCAGCGGCCAGCACGTGTCCAGTGAGTATCGGGGGGTCCCCCGTGGTGTCCAGTGAGTATCGGGGGGTCCCCCACCCCCTGAACCCCCCCATGGTGTCCAGAGAATATCGGGGTGTCCCCCTGACCCCCCCCCCCAACAATGTACCCAGTGAGTATTGGGGTCCCCTCCATATGTCCAGTGAGTATTGGGGTGTCCCCCCACATATTAATGAGTATTGTGGCATCCCCCCGCCTGTCCAGTGACTGTTGGGGTCCCCCCATCACCTGACCCCCCCCCCCCTCCACGTGTCTAGTGAGAATTATCGGGGTCCCCTCACACTCCCTGGCCGCTCCCACGTGTCCAGTGAGTATTGGGGTGTCCCCCACCCTCTGAACCCCACACATGTCCAGTAAGAAGTATCGGGGTCCACCCCACACCTTGAACCCCTTCCTGCGTATCCAGTGAGTATTGGGGTCCCCTCCACGTGTTCAGTGCATATCAGGGTCCCCCTCACACCCCCCCCCTCCTGCTGTCCCGTGAGTATTGGGGTCCCCCTGACCCCCCCAGCAGGGTCTGGGGCTCAGCCAGCCTCTCCTGCAGTCATGGACCTGAGCTCGGATGAGGATGAAGATGAGGAGGAGGAAGAGGAAGCAGCAGAGGAGGCCCCCAAGAAGCCCCTCAAGGGCTCAGGTGCCCAGAAGGGCGGCACGGCCAAGGTCAGCACCTGAGGGGGGGGGTGAGGGGTTTTGGGGTCCCTGTGGCACGGGGAAGGGGGAGTCAGGGACCCCAAATTCCTCTCTGCTCTGGGGATGAGCCGTGGCCTTCATCCCCGGAGGGAGGAAGACTCCTCATCCTCCGTCTCTTTCTCTCTCCCGTAGAAAAGGAAGCGGGAAAAGGAGGAGGAGCCGTGAGTATGAAACCCTGGGATTGATTTTGGGGGGGGGTCCCTACGGCCGGGACCCCCACCCCAAGCCCCCCTTGTGTCCCAGCAGGAACAGCCTCGCCCCCGCGCGCCCCCCCCCAGCCAAGGTAGGAGCAGCTCCAAAGGGGGCGTCCCCTGTCCCCCCCTTTTCCCTGGGGACACCGGGCTGGGGGTTCTGGGGGGTCGGGCTGTGATGGGCAGCACCGCTGGACCCAAAAATGGGGGGGAAGAGCAGATTTGGGGGTTCCCCCCCTCACCCCCATATTCAGCCCCCTCCCCGTTCTGGCAGGGACGCGGAGCCGGCCGGGGCAGGAAAGGAGCAGCCAAGAAATGACGGGAATTGGGGAATTCTGGGAATTCCGTCCAGGTGAGGACTGGGGGGGTCCCTGGGGCGCCTCCGACCCCACAACGGGGTCACCCCACTAAAAATCCTTTTCCTCCTTCCCTTCCAGGTGCCTGGAAGCAGCAGCAGCAGCTGCTGGTGGTGGTGGTGTCGTTCCCTATTAAATAAAGCACATTTTGCACTCCTGGATCCCTGTGCTGCTGTGGGAGCACCCCCAAGCCTGGATTTGGGGGGCCGGGGCTGCCCCCCACCCTGGGTTTGGGGGCTGTGAGAAGGGGACAAAGGGGAATTAGGGGGACAGGATGGGATCCCACTGACCTGGCTGGCATTTGGGGGCTGTGAGGGGGGGATTAGGGGGACAGGATGGGATCCCACTGACCTGGCTGGCATTTGGGGGCTGTGAGAGGGGGACAAAGGGGAATTAGGGGGACAGGATGGGATCCCACTGACCTGGCTGGCATTTGGGGGGCACCTGGGTGTCCCGGAGGGGACCTGAACCCCTGCTTGGGGCAGTGAGGGGGGGTTAACCCCGCTCTGCACCCCCAGGATGGGGCTGGGGACAGAGGGGCAGGGTCACAGCTGTGACAGCAGCACTGTCCCCACTCCATGGGGGCTGTGGCAGCCTTGGGAGGTGCTGGCAGCTCCTGGCACTTCCCAGGTCACAGCCCGGGGGTGACAACGGCTCCACACCCACCACTCATCCCTCTCTGAAGCCACAGCATTGTCCTGCACTCCTTCCATCCTTCTGTCTGTCCACAGGACTCTCCTTCACTCCCTCATCCCTCAGTGAGGCCGAAGGATGCTCCTGCACCTCCTCCATCCCTGTGTGTGTCCAGGGGATTGTCCTGCACTCCCTCCATCCCTCACTAAACCCAGAGGATTGTCCTGCACTCCTTCCATCCCTCTGTGTGTTCCCAGGATTGTCCTTCACTCCCTCATCCCTCAGTGAGGCTGAAGGATGCTCCTGCACCTCCTCCATCCCTCTCTGAATCTCTGACTTTCCTGTACATCCTCCATCCCTGTGTGTGTCCAGGGCATTGTCCTGCACTCCTTCCATCCCTCACTAAATCCACAGGATTGTCCTGCACTCCGTCCATCCCTCTGTGTGTCCACAGGACTCTCCTGCACCTCTTCCATCCCTCAGTGAGGCTGAAGGATGCTCCTGCACTTCTTCCATCGCTTGGCAGAGCCAGGGCATTGTCCTGCACATTCTCCATCCCTCACTAAATCCACAGCATTGTCCTGCACTCCTTTTATCCCTCTGTGTCCACAGGACTGTCCTGAACATTCTCCATCCCTCACTGAGGCTGAAGGATGCTCCTGCACCTCTTCCATCGCTTGGCAAGGCCAGAGGATTGTCCTGCACTCCCTCATCCTTCTCTGAACCCACAGGATTGTCCTGCACTCCTTCCATCCCTCTGTGTGTTCCCAGGACTCTCCTTCACTCCCTCATCCCTCAGTGAGGCCGAAGGATGCTCCTGCACCTCCTCCATCCCTGTGTGTGTCCAGGGGATTGTCCTGCACTCCCTCCATCCCTCACTAAATCCACAGGATTGTCCTGCACCTCTTCCATCCCTCTGTCTGTCCACAGCATTGTCCTGCACTCCTTCCATCCCTCAGTGAGCCCGAAGGATGTTCCTGCACCTCCTCCATCCCTGTCTGTGTCCAGGGGCTTGTTCTGCACCTCCACCATCCCTCAGAGGCCAAAGGATGCTCCTGCACCTCTTCCATCACTTGGCAAAGCCAGAGGATTGTCCTGCACTCCCTCATCCCTCTCAGAACCCACAGGATTGTCCTGCACCCCCTCCATCCCCCTGTGTCTCCCCAGGACTGTCCTGCCCTCCCTCATCCCTCAGTGAGGCTGAACGCTGCTCCTGCACCCCCTCCATCCCTCTGTGTCTCCCCAGGACTGTCCTGCACCCCCTCCACCCCTCTGTGTCTCCCCAGGATTGTCCTGCACTCCCTCATCCCTCTCTGCATCCACAGGATTGTCCTGCCCTCCCTCATCCCTCTGTGTCTCCTCAGGATTGTCCTGCACCTCCTCCATCCCTCTGTGTCTCCCCAGGACTGTCCTGCCCTCCCTCATCCCTCTCTGCATCCATGGGACTCTCCTGCACCTCCTCCTTCCCTGGCCGAGCCCCGGGGCCTCTCCTGCCCCCGCTGCAGCTCCCGGCGATCCCCGGTGCCGCTCCCGGTGCCGCTCCCGCATCTGCCGGTGCCGCTCCCGGTGCGGCGGCGGGCGGGGGGCGGTCGCTGTGGTAACGCGCGTGCGGCGCAGGGGCGGGAGGGATGCTCGGCGCGGGGATGGCTCCCGGCGGACGGGCAGCGCTGCCTGCGGGCCATGGGCTCCCCTGAAGGTAGGGCCTGACCCCCGCACCCCACCCCGCACCCCGCATCCCCCGGGCACCCTCCTGCACCGGGACCGGCGAGACCCAGCGGGCTCCGGGCTCGCTTTGAGTGGGTGCATGAAACACCGCGCGTTGTGGGTTGGAGCGGGATCGGGGCGCCCCCAAACTCCTCCCGCGGGCACCCCCAGGCGTGTCGGTGCCACGGCCGGGTCAGGCGGCCGAGCAGCCCCCGGGCGCAGGTGGCGGCCGCCGAGCAGCCGCTGCGATCGTCTTCATGCTTGAGAAACTGGGTTAGTGGCGGCGGAGAGGCGGCCGCAGCCTCGATGATTCACGGGCACGGCCCCGGGCGGCGGCGGGGCCCGGAGGAGCCCCCCGGGATGGCGGAGCCAGGACCGGGATGCTCCGGCCAGCCGGGCCGGCCCCGGCGCTGAAGGACACGCGTGTGGATCCCCCTGGGGCTGTATCCCTGCCAGATGTTCACCTCTGGGCCTGGATGCCGCCCAGATGTGCAGCCCTGGGTGCGTTTCCTCCCAGATGTGCAGCCCGGACACACCCCAGGCCCTGCGTGTCCATCCGGAGGGGTCCAGCAGCCCTTTCCTGAGCGGGGTGGGGGGAAACTGAGGCAGCGAGGAGCAGAAGCAGCGAGGAGGAGCCCCCGAACGGGAGCTGCTGCTGTCACCAGGCAGCGCTCCCACACAGAGCCGGGAATAGACTCCGGATCCCGGCGCTGCGGCACCAACGCAGCCCCGCCGCCCCCGGCGGCTCCGGCCGCGGCTCCGCTCCCGTGCCCGATCCCGGGGTGCTGGGATCGCGTTCCGAGCGGCCCCGGAGGGATGGAGGTGGCCGCAGCACCCCTGCCCTGCGCAGAACCGCGACCCCCAGGGTTTGGGGGGGTTTTGGGGCTCAGCTCTCCCCGCCGGAGCCCAGCGCTCGCTTGTGGCAGATTCCCAGCACCTCCCAACCCTCCCTGAGCTGCGCCGGTGCCGCGGATGGAAATTCCCGCTGGATTTCCCCTCCCGGGGCAGCGAGGGGTGGGCGCAGCGCCCCCAGACCCATCCTGGGGGTGGGATCGGGCGGGAGGTGCCGACCCCCCCCTCCATCGCCCCACGCTGCCGCAGCCCCGTGAGGTGCCGGGGGTGCCAAAATCCCTCCAAAACCCCTCCGGGGGGAGCGGGGGCAGCCGCGCCCGGTGCCCAGCGGGGGCCGGGGGGTGCCAGGGCTGCCCCTGGCAGCGGGGCCAGGCCGGGTTATTCGTGTTTTCCTCCCTCTTTGTGCCGGGGAAGCGGGAGGAGCGGCAGCCAATACTGCTTCGTCATGATGCCGGTTAATTCTCCTCTTGTTGGGAAAGGGACTGAGCCAGCAGCGAGCCGGGGAGAGGCGAGCGGCACCCACGCGGCCACCGCCGCCCCCCTCCCGGGCAGCCACGCACTCCCGCACCCTCCCAGCCCAGCTCCACGCAGCCTCCCCCGCACGCCCAGCGCGGTTATCGGGCGGCGGGGCCGGGCTGCCGGGGGGTGATAGGCTCCTGCTGCCGCCCTCCCGCCCGCGTCCCCGCTCTCACGGCTCCGGATGCGCCGCAGCCCCCCCGGGAGCCCACGCGTGATCGGGGGCTGGGTGGGAGCATCGCCCCGCGGCCGGAGGGATGCGGTGAGCCCGGCCTTAGGTGAGTGAGCGGCTCGGCAGGGACGGGGACACGGCTGGGGACACGGAGGGTGCGGGGGGGCCGGGTCGTGGCTGCCGCTCTCCGTTTTCCCGTCGCTTTTTCCCCCCCACATTTTGTCCCCACCTTGTCCCCACTGCTGCCATCGCGGGGACCCCTCCCCAAGCCCCCCCTGCGGCACCACAGCGCCCTCAGAGCCCCCCCGGGACCACCCCCGTGTCCCCTCCCCGGGGACATCGCCGGGGGACGAGGCCGGGACCGCCCAGCCCTGCCCAGCCCCACCTGAGGGGGGAATTTGTGGGGTCTCAGCGCTGCTGCCGCTGCTGGGGGGGGACCCCCAATCCCACCCCCTCCGTGAAGGGTTAGATGCTCCCTGGCCGTGGTGGACACGGAATTTTGGGGTGCCCCAACCCCGCTGGCAAAGCCCGGAGGGGGCAAATTCCCATTTCCCCACGGCCCCGAGCATCGAGGGGGGATTTAGGGACAGAAGAAATTCCCATTTCCCCACGGCCCCGAGCATCGAGGGGGGATTTAGGGGCAGAAGAAATTCCCATTTCCCCACGGCCCCGAGCATCGAGGGGGGATTTAGGGGCAGAATTTGGGGCGCAAATTCGGGGCGTCCCCCCCAATCTCTTGGCCGTGCATGCAGCCAAGGGCGGGGGGGGGTTCAGCTGCTGGCTGTGGGTGCCAGGCCGGGCTCATTTCTGGGCCACCTCGGGAGCCCCGGGTGTCCTGTCAGGTGTGACCCCCCCGGTGACCCCAGGTGCGGTGTTGGGGTGCCCAGGCCCCCATCCCGGGGTACCCAGCGCTGGGCGTGCCGAGCCCAGGGCTGGCAGAACCGGGGGGGGTTTTGGGGTGCGGGGGCTCCCCCAAACTCCCGGGGGAGGCGCGGAGGGCGCGGCCTCCTCACACATCCCCGGCGGGTCCCTCCGCGTGCGGGATGAGCAGGCTAATCCCACTTTAATCCCGGATTACGAGCCACGTGAGGCGCGGCCCAGAGCGGGGCTGTGGGGTGGCCAGCGGGGCAGGGGGGCCGGGCAAGGAGCCCCCCGCTCATCCCCGGGAGTTTTGGGGTTCGGGCCACGTCTCCCCCCTCTAAACCTGCAGGGCAGGGCCGAGGGAAAGCTGCGCTGGCCCAGATTCCGCGGGTGGGAGGAAGCGAGGAGGTGGAAATGCCTCCTTCACCTCCATCCGCTCCGGGATGGGGTGGGCGGGTTGTTGATACCCCCCCCTTCCCCTCCCCTCCCCATCCACCTTCCATGCGGGGAAACTGAGGCACGGAGCATCCCCGTGCGCGCGGCTGGTCCATCCCAGCCATGGAAAAACGCCCGGGGCTGGCAGCTGGTGGCTTTGGAGGCCACCGAGGTGGCGGGGCAGCGACACGGGAGCGACGGCTGGCGACAGCCACGCTGGCCCGGCGGGGACAGAAACAGGACAAAGGAGGAACCGGACACCGGCGGGGCGCGGGTCGCGGAGCCACGGTCGCTGTCGCTGTCGCGCTCAGGTTGCCCGTGGGGCCCCGCGTGTGGCGGTGCCTCGGTTTCCCCGGTGAGCGGGGAGGATGCTCCGGGCCTCGCCTGCGCTGTTTGTTTGGAGCTTGTGGTGGGAGGAGGAGCAGCAGCAGCAAGAGGAGGAGGAGGAGGAGGAGGAGGAGGGCTGGGCCGGGCTGGGAAGCACCGGCCACCGTTCCCAGGGCTGGCGGGAACCGTCTGTTCAGGGAACTTGTGACCCCGCGTGTCCCCCCCGTGTCGCTGCTGGCTGCGAGCCGCGACAGCCGCGCCACGATTCGGGCACTGGTGGCACGGCCGGGAAGGGAGAGGGAGGAGGAGGAGGAGGAGGAGGGGATGGAGGAAGGCTGGGGGTCCCCTGCCGCTCCCCCCCGGCCCTGGGGGGGTTCTCGGGGCCTGGCTCCTGGCGCGGGGCCGGGCGCTGATGGCTTTGGCGGCTGCGAAAAGTCAAATCCGGATTTCCTCGGGGTGGGGAGGAGGGAACCGAGCTCTTCCCGCGGCAGCGCAGCCCTGGCTCCCCTCACGGGGGGGGCACCGGCACCCCTGCATGCCCGTGAGCCCCGCCCGCACGTGTCCTGTCCGTCTGTCCGCCCATCCATCCATCCTTCCTTCCTTCCTCCATCTCTCTCCCTCTTCCCACGCTCCCTGCCCGGCTCTTTTCGGTGCCCTCAGCATCTCCCTGGGAGGGGGACACGCTGCGTGTCCCCCCCTCCTGTCCCCGCTCCCCCGAGCCCTCCTGGCCGGGAAAATCCCAAAACAGCCGCGCTTATCTCGGGCCAGGCGCGGACCTGGCCGCGGCTCCGCGGTTTGATCGGGGGTTGCCACGGGGACCGCGGCTGCCATCGGGGCGGTGGCTCCTGCCTGCTCCTGATAAGCTGTCCCCGCGCTCTGGGGACGCGGGGGGGGCCCCGTGGTGGCCGAGGTGGCTGCGCGGGCCCTGGCACCTCCGGCCAATTTTGTGGCGTCGCTCCGCAGCCCCGGTTCGGGTTCGTTTTCCTTCCCCTCCGCTCCCGTTCTCCGCCATCGCCTCCATCTGCTCGCTGTCACCGCGTCCCTCCGGTGTCCCCAGCGCGACCGGGGGCGGGGTGCGAGGCTGGCTCCGTCCGGCGCTGGAAAGTGTGAGCTCAGGGCTGTGCCCAGGCGGACAATGCCGCCCTTGTGCCGCTCTGGCGCTGCCCATCGCACCGGTCCCGGGTCCCGGCAGGGGCTGGGATGGGCTCAGCGCCTTAAACCCCGCGCCAGGGACGGATCTGGGGGGGTCTTTGTGGCGGGGGGGTCCCCAGGGAGGGCAGAGCCGCCTCCCCCCGCAGCCCGAGGGTGCTCCCGGGTCTCTCGGACCCATCCCCGCGTCCCACGGGAGCGACATCGGCGGGGACAGCGGGCTCGGTGTCCCCAAGGCGGTGCCACCCCCGTGCCCAGCCTGCGGGGCTGGAGCTGCCCGCGCCGCTGTCGCTGTCACTGTGGCTGTCACCGCACGAGCTTTTCCCAACTCCGGCCCTTCTGAAAGGAGAAGGTTGGAGGAGAATGGGGAATTTTCCCCTTTGTGCGCTCCATTGTGGCCTCAGAGCGCGGCCGGGCCCGAGCCCCGGGGGCTCCGGGGGGCCGAGCCCGTCCCGCTGCCCGTGGAGCCTTCTGGAGGCCGCACAAGGGACAAAAGGGCGACACCGCCGCCAGCACCGTCAGCACCGGCGGGCAGGGACACGCGGCGGGCACGGGGACAGCGTGGGGACAGCGTGGGGACAAGGGCAGGTTTGTCACCCACTCACGGCCACCTCTGTGCTCTCCCTGCAGAGGGAACAGCCGAGCCCCAGCGCCCAGGGGGATGTGGAGCCACAGAGGCAGCGGTGAGTGCGGTGTCCCCGGCCTGTCACTGTCCCCTGCTTGTCCCATCCCTGTGCCCTGCCTGTCCCTGTCCCTCACCTGTGCCCTGCCTGTCCCCTCCTTGTCCCTCACCTGTCCCCTGCCTGTCCCTTTGGGGGACTGGGAAGGCCCCTGCCTATACCTGTCCCCTCCCTGTCTCTCCCTGTCCCCTGCCTGTCCCTGTCCCCCTCCTGTGCCCTCGCCTGTCCCTCCACCTGTCCCTCCCTGTCTCTGTCCCCCGCCTGTCCCCTGCCTGCCCCTGTCCCCCTTCCTGTCCCCCTCACTGTCTCCTGCCTGCCCCTGTCCCATCCCTGTCCCCTGCCTGTGCCCTGCCTGTCCCTGTCCCCCTCCTGTGCCCTCGCCTGTCCCTCCACCTGCCCCTCCCTGTCCTGCCCCTGTCCCTCTTCCTGTCCCCCTCACTGTCCCATCCCTGTCCCCTGCCTGTGCCTGTGCCTTGCCTGTCCCTGTCCCCTCACTGTCCCTCACCTGTGCTCTGCCTCTCCCTTTCCTGGGGGACAGTGGCACCTCCTGGCAGGCCTGTTCTGCTGCCACCACTGGGGCCGTGCCACCCTTGTCTGGGGCTGTGCCACCCTCATTTGGCACTGGGGCCGTGCCCCCCTCGTTTGGCACTGGGGCCGTGCCCCCTCCATTTGGGGCTGTGCACCCCTCATTTGGCACTGGGGCCATGCCACCCCTGTCTGGCACTGGGGCCATGCCACCCCCGTTTGGGGCTGTGCCCCCCTCGTTTGGCACTGGGGCCGTGACCCCCCTGTTTGGGGCCGTGCCCCCCTCATTTGGCACTGGGGCCGTGCCACCCCCATTTGGGGCAGTGCCCCCCTCATTTGGCACTGGGGCCGTGCCCCCCCTGTTTGGGGCCGTGCCCCCCTCATTTGGCACTGGGGCTGTGCCACCCCCGTTTGGGGCCGTGCCCCCCTCATTTGGCACTGGGGCCATGCCCCCCCCGTTTGGGGCCATGCCACCCCTGTCTGGCACTGGGGACGTGCCACCCCCGTGCCCGCTGTGGGCCCAGCCCGTGCCAGGAGGGCCGTGGGATGTGGGACCCCCCCAGGGGGGCTCTGTGCCCACCCTGGCAGTGCCCAAACCCCTCTGTGCCCACAGGACCCTGTGACTGACACAGCCCCAGCCCGCGGCTGAATGGAAAGACTGCAGAAGGTACAGGGGGCTGGGGATGGGTTTGGGGGTCCAGGGAGGGTTTGGGGGTCCAGGGAGGGTTTGGGGGTCCAGAACAGGATTCTGGGGGTCCAGGGAAGGTATTGGGGGTGCAGGGAGGGTAAAGGAGGTCCAGAAAGGATGTTTGGGGTCCGGAACAGGGGTTTTGGGGTCCAGGGATGGTGTTGGGGGACTGGGAAGATCTTGGGGGTCCAGGAAGGGTCTTGGGGGCCCAGGGAAGGTCTTGGGGGTCCAAGGAGGCTGTTGGGAGTGCAGAGAGGGTGTTGAGGGTCCAAAACAGGGGTTCAGGAAGTTCTCGGGGGTCCAAGGAGGCTGTTGGAGGTCCAGAACGGGGTTCTGGGGGTCCAGTGAAGGTTCTGGGCTTCAGGAAAGGTCTTGGGCTGCCAAAGAAGGTGCTGGGGGTCTGGGGATAGAGAACAGCGTGCTGGGGGTCCAGAGGAGGTTCTGGAGGCCCAGGGAAGGTTCTGGGGGTCCAAGAAAGGATATTGGGGGTACAGAGAAAGTGCTGGGGGTGTGGGAAAAGTTCTGGGGGTACAGAGCGGGGTGCTGGGGGTCTGGACAGGGTGCTGGGGGTCCAGAGATGGTTCTGGAAGTTCAAGGAAGGGTGTTGGGGGTCTGGGCAGAGTGTTGGGGGTACAGGGAAAGTGCTGAGAGTACAGAACGGGGTGCTGGGGGTCCAGAGAAGGTTCTGGGGTCTGGGAAGGTGCTGGGGATCAAGGCAGGGTGTTGGGGGTACAGAGAAGATTTTGGGGGTCCAGGGAAGGGTGCTGGGGGTCCAGAGAAGGTTCTGGGGATCCAATAAAGGGTGTTGGAGGTCTGGGAGGGTGCTGGGGTGTCCAGAGAAGGTTCTGGGGGTGTGGGCAGGTTCTGGGGGTCCAGGCAGGGTGCTGGAGAATGGGGAGCCCCGCACGCACACGGGGCTGGTGCCAAAGGCAGGGGCAGTCGTGGGCCGCTGTTAGCCCGGCCCTGCCTTCCTCCTCCTCCTCCTCCTCCCGTCCTCCAGCCCAGCCTGGCAGCACCATCTGGCGGCAGCGCGTCCTGGCCGCGCCGCTGTCACCTCCCGGCTGTCCCGGCTGTCCCCTGCCTGCCCGTGCCCACCTGAAACGCCCGTCCCAAGGAATTTGGGATCCGTGGGTGCGACGGTGCTCGCAGGGGTCTGAGGATGAGGGAGGAGACGAGGATCTGACTCCATGGTTCAGAAGGCTGATTTATTATTTTATGATATATATTACATTAAAACGATACTAAAAGAATAGAAGAAAGGATTTCATCAGAAGGCTGGCTAAGAATAGAAAAAGAAAGAATGATAACAAAGGTTTGTGTCTCAGAGAGTCTGAGCCAGCTGACTGTGATTGGCCATTAATTAGAAACAACCACATGAGCCCAATCCCAGATGCACCTGTTGCATTCCACAGCAGCAGATAACATTGGTTACATTTTGTTCCTGAGGCCTCTCAGCTCCTCAGGAGGAACAATCCCAAGGAAAGGATTTTCCATGGGAGATGTCTGTGACAGGTGGGCACAGGGGGGGTTTGGGGTCTCTGCTGCTCACAGGGACCCCGGGATGTGTTCAAGTCTCTTTTCCCAGCCCGGCAGTCAAAGAAGGAGTCAGAGCTCTTCAGTTCTCATTCCCAAGGTTGTTTCTTGTTCCTTGTCTATAAAATTCTTTCCCCTGTCCAGCCAAGGTCCGTTCAGCAGGACAGACAGAGGCACACTGACACCCTCAGTTATCTTTTCATACTAAAAACTACCTGCACAATATTTACAATTCCTTCCCAATACCCATCACCTGTGTTAGACACTGAGCTTCTACCCTAAACCAATCCCAAAGTGCCACCATCACCCAGAAGATGGAGGCCAAGAGGAAGAAGAAGGAGAAGGACAGGACACACCCAGATCCCTCCATCTTGCCCCCTGAACCCCCATTCTAAAAACCCCAACATTCTATTTTTCACCCCATGATAAATTCACTCTCATTCTACTTAACCTGTCCTGGCTTGCAGGTCTTCATGTAAGGTTGATAATTTTTTTCCATGGGTTAAAATCAAAGCCACAAAGGTGTCTTGAGCTCTGAGCCCCCATTCTAAAAACCCCGAAAAAATCTATTTTTCACCCCGTGAAAATATTATTATTCTACTTAATATATCATTAATTATATTAATATATTATTATATATTAATATATTATATATATTAATATATTATATATTAATATATATAATATATATTATAATATAATATAATTATATTATATATATAAAAATATATATTTATATATATTTATATTTATATATAAATATATATATTTATATATATATTTATATATATTTATATATATTTATATATATTTATATATATTTATATATTTATATATAAATATATAATTAAATATATTATATTATATATATAATATAATATAATAATATATATTAATATATTAATATATTATTTTATATTATATATTATAATATAAATAATATTATTAATTATATTAATATATTATAAATACTATTATTCTACTTAAACTCTTTTGACTTGTAATTCTTCATCTAAGGTTGGGAATTGTTTTTTCCAAGGGCTGAATCAAAGGCACAGGGGTCTTGAGCTCTGTGCCAGGGTCTCTGAGCCCCCATTCTAAAAACCCCAAAATTCTATTTTTCACCCCATTATAAATTTGCTCTCATTCTACTCAAGCTGTCCTGGCTTGCAGGTCTTCATATAACGTTGATAATTTTTTTTTCCATGGGTTCAAATCAAAGCCAGAGGTGTCTTGGGCTCTGAGCCCCCATTCTAAAAACCCCAAAATTCTATTTTTCACCCCATGATAAATTCACTCTCATTCTACTTAACCTGTCCTGGCTTGCAGGTCTTCATATAACGTTGATAATTTTTTTCCATGGATTAAAATCAAAGCCAGAGGTCTCTTGGTCTCTGAGCCCCCATTCCAAAACCCCCCCAAAAATTTATTTTTGCCCCATGACAAACTAACTATTATTCTACTTTGAATTTCATGGCTTGCAGGTCTTCATCTAAGGTTGGGAATTGTTTTTTCCAAGGGCTGAATCAAAGGCACAGGGGTCTTGAGCTCTGTTCCAGGGTCTCTGAGTCCCCATTCTAAAAACCCCAAAAAATCTATTTTTCACCCCATGATAAATTCACTCTCATTCTACTCAAACTGTCCTGGCTTGCAGGTCTTCATATAACATTAATAATTTTTTCCATGGGTTAAAATCAAAGCCAGAGGTGTCTTGGGCTCTGAGCCCCCATTCTTAAGCCCCCAAAAAATCTATTTTTGCCCCATGACAAATTAACTATTATTGTACTTTGAATTTCGTGGCTTGCAGGTCTTCATATAAGGTTGGTAATTTTTTCCATGGGTCATAATCAAAATCACAGGGGTCTTGAGCTCTGTGCCAGGGTCTCTGAGCCCCCATTCTAAAAACCCCAAAATTCTATTTTTCACCCCATGATAAATTTGCTCTCATTCTACTTAACCTGTCCTGGCTTACAGATCTTCATATAACATTAATAATTTTTTCCATGGGTTAAAATCAAAGCCAGAGGTGTCTTGGGTTCTGAGCCCCCATTCTAAAACCCCCCAAAAAAATCTATTTTTGCCCCATGGCAAACTAACTCTTATTCTATTTAGAATTTCATGGCTTGCAGGTCTTCATATAACGTTGATAATTTTTTCCATGGGTTAAAATCAAAGCCACAGAGGCATCTTGGTCTCTGAGCCCCCATTCTAAAACCCCCCAAAAAATCTCTTTTTGCCCCATGACAAATTAACTATTATTCTACTTAAACTCTTTTCACTCATAATTCTTTGTAATAATTTTTTTCTTTTGACTCTTTCGACTTGTAATCCTTGATAATTGTGTTTTCCAAGAGCCAAATCAAAGGCACAGGAGTCTTGAGCTCCGTGCCCGGGTCTTGGAGCCCCTTGGCCGGGGTTTGGGCAGGGACAGACAGACAGACGTGCTGAATTCTGACACAGGGGTGTCCCCAAACCCCCTCCTGGGCTGAACCTCGCCCCCTTTTTCCATCCAGCAGCCTCTGACCTCCCCTGGGAGCGTCTGCTCTTCCCGCGGATCCAGCGTTCCCGGCTCTCCCTCCAGCATCGTGGTAAGGAGCCATTCCCACCTTCCCACCTGGTCCCTAAATCCCCGCGGCCGGGATGTGCCCCCCAAAACCACCCCCAGCCCCCCCTGCGTGGCCTTGGAGGGTGTGAACCCCCCCATTCCCAAAAAAATCCCAAAAATTCCCTTCTGCACCCCAAACGAAGGCGTTTTCCTTTCATTCCAGGCCAAAATGGACAACGAGGTTCTGGGCTACAATCCCATCATTCCCAATCCCATGATCTCCCAATCCCAACCACACAAACTCCCAAGGACCTTGTGAAAAATTCCCTAAATTTACAAAAAAATCCCTAAAATTCCCAAAAATTCCCTTCTGCACCCCAAATGAAGGCGTTTTCCCTTCTTCCCAGGCCAAAATGGACAACAAGGTTCTGGGCTACAATCCCATGATTCCCAACCCCATGAGCTCCCAATCCCATGAGCTCCCATTCCCAACCACACAAACTCCCAAGGACCTTGTGGAAAATTCCCTAAATTTCCCAAAAATTCCCATCTGCACCCCAAATGAAGGCGTTTTCCTTTCATTCCAGGCCAAAATGGACAACGAGGTCCTGGGCTACAATCCCATGAGCTCCAACCCCATAAACTCCCAAGGACCTTGTGAAAAATTCCCTAAATATCCCAAAAATTCCCATCTGCACCCCAAATTAAGGCGTTTTCCCTTCATTCCAGGCCAAAATGGACAACGAGGTCCTGGGCTACAATCCCATCATTCCCAACCCCATGAGCTCCCAATCCCAACCACACAAACTCCCAAGGACCTTGTGGAAAATTCCCTAAATTTCCCAAAAATTCCCATCTGCACCCCAAATGAAGGAGTTTTCCCTCCTTCCAGGCCAAAATGGACAAGGAGGTCCTGAGCTACAATCCCATCATTCCCAACCCCATGAGCTCCCAAGGACCTTGGAAAAAATTCCCAAAAATTCCCTTCTGCACCCCAAATGAAGGTGTTTTCCCTTCCTCCCAGGCCAAAATGGACAACGAGGTCCTGGGCTACAATCCCATCATTCCCAATCCCATGAGCTCCCAATCCCAACTCCATGAGCTCCCAAGGACCTTGTGAAAAATTCCTTAAATTTCCCAAAAATTCCCATCTGCACCCCAAACGAAGGCGTTTTCCCTTCCTTCCAGGCCGAAATGGACAACGAGGTTTTGGGCTACAATCCCATGAGCTCCAACCCCATAAACTCCCAAGGACCTTGTGAAAAATTCCCTAAATATCCCAAAAATTCCCATCTGCACCCCAAATTAAGGCGTTTTCCCTTCATTCCAGGCCAAAATGGACAACGAGGTCCTGGGCTACAATCCCATGAGCTCCCATTCCCAACCCCATAAACTCCCAAGGACCTTGGAAAAAATTCCCTAAAATTCCCAAAAATTCCCTTCTGCACCCCAAATGAAGTTGTTTTCCCTTCTTCCCAGGCCAAAATGGACAACGAGGTCCTGGGCTACAAGAACCTTGTAAAAAATCCCCTCAATTTGCCAAAAATTCCCTCAATTTCCCAAAAATTCCCAAAATGGACAATGAGGTCCTGGGCTACAAGGACCTTGTAAAAAATCCCAAAAATTCCCTTCTGAACCCCAACTGAAGGAGTTTTCTTCCCTTGCAGGCCAAAATGGACAACGAGGTCCTGGGCTACAATCCCATGAGCTCCCAATCCCAATCCCATGAGCTCCCATTCCCAACCACACAAACTCCCAAGGACCTTGGAAAAAATTCCCTAAATTTCCCAAAAAATTCCCTTCTGCACCCCAAACGAAGGCGTTTTCCCTTCATTCCAGGCCGAAATGGACAACGAGGTCCTGGGCTACAATCCCATCATTCCCAACCCCATGAGCTCCCAATCCCAACCACACAAACTCCCAAGGACCTTGTGGAAAATTCCCTAAATTTCCCAAAAATTTCCCTAAAATTCCCAAAAATTTCCATCTGCACCCCCAATGAAGGCGTTTTCCCTTCCTTCCAGGCCAAAATGGACAATGAGGTCCTGGGCTACAATCCCATGATTCCCAACCCCATGAGCTCCCAATCCCAACTCCATGAGCTCCAACCCCATGAGCTCCCAATCCCAACTCCATGAGCTCCCAAGGACCTTGTGAAAAATTCCTTAAATTTCCCAAAAATTCCCATCTGCACCCCAAATGAAGGCATTTTCCTTTCATTCCAGGCCAAAATGGACAACGAGGTCCTGGGCTACAATCCCATGAGCTCCAACCCCACGAGCTCCCAAGGACCTTGTGAAAATTCCCTAAATTTCCCAAAAATTCCCTAAATTCCCTAAATTTCCCAAAAATTCCCATCTGCACCCCAAATGAAGTTGTTTTCTCTTCCTCCCAGGCTAAAATGGACAACGAGGTCCTGGGCTACAATCCCGTGAGCTCCAACCCCATGAGCTCCCAATCCCAACCCCATGAGCTCCCAAGGACCTTGGAAAAAATTCCCAAAATTTCCCAAAAAATTCCCTTCTGCACCCCAAATGAAGGCGTTTTCCCTTCCTTCCAGGCCAAAATGGACAATGAGGTCCTGGGCTACAATCCCATGAGCTCCAACCCCATGAGCTCCCAATCCCAACTCCATGAGCTCCCAAGGACCTTGTGAAAAATTCCCTAAATTTCCCAAAAATTTCCCTAAATTTCCCAAAAATTCCCATCTGCACCCCAAATGAAGTTGTTTTCTCTTCCTTCCAGGCCAAAATGGACAACGAGGTCCTGGGCTACAAGAACCTTGTAAAAAATTCCCTAAATTTACCAAAAATTCCCTAAAATTCCCTAAATTTACCAAAAATTCCCTTCTGCACCCCAAACGAAGGCATTTTTCCTTCATTCCAGGCTAAAATGGACAACGAGGTTCTGGGCTACAATCCCATGACCTCCAACCCCATGAGCTCCCAATCCCAACTCCATGAGCTCCCAAAGACCTTGGAAAAAATTCCCTAAATTTCCCAAAAAATTCCCTAAATATCCAAAAAATTCCCTTTCTGCACTCCAAATGAAGGCGTTTTCCTTTCATTCCAGGCCAAAATGGACAACGAGGTTCTGGGCTACAATCCCATCATTCCCAACCCCATGAGCTCCCAATCCCAACCCCATAAACTCCCAAGGACCTTGTGAAAAATTCCCTAAATTTCCCAAAAAATTCCCTTCTGCACCCCAAATGAAGGCGTTTTCCTTTCATTCCAAGCCAAAATGGACAACGAGGTCCTGGGCTACAAGAACCTTGTAAAAAATTCCCTAAATTTACCAAAAATTCCCTCAATTTCCCAAAAATTCCCAAAATGGACAATGAGGTCCTGGGCTACAAGGACCTTGTAAAAAATTCCCAAAAATTCCCTTCTGAACCCCAACTGAAGGAGTTTTCTTCCCTTGCAGGCCAAAGTGGACAATGAGGTTCTGGGGTAGAAGGACTTTGTAAAAAATTCCCTAAATTTCCCAAAAATTCCCATCTGCACCCCAAATGAAGTTGTTTTCTCTTCCTCCCAGGCTAAAATGGACAACGAGGTCCTGGGCTACAATCCCATGATTCCCAATCCCATGAGCTCCCAATCCCAACTCCATGAGCTCCAACCCCATGAGCTCCCAATCCCAATCCCATGAACTCCCAAGGACCTTGGAAAAAATTCCCAAAATTTCCGAAAAATTCCCTTCTGCACCCCAAATAAGGGCATTTTCCCTTCTTTCCAGGCCAAAATGGACAACGAGGTCCTGGGCTACAAGAACCTTGTAAAAAATTCCCTCAATTTGCCAAAAATTCCCTCAATTTCCCAAAAATTCCCAAAATGGACAATGAGGTCCTGGGCTACAAGGACCTTGTAAAAAATCCCAAAAATTCCCTTCTGAACCCCAAATGAAGGAGTTTTCTTCCCTTGCAGGCCAAAATGGACAACGAGGTCCTGGGCTACAATCCCATGAGCTCCAACCCCATGAGCTCCCAATCCCAATCCCATGAGCTCCAATCCCATGAGCTCCCAAGGACCTTGTGAAAATTCCCTAATTTTCCCAAAAATTTCCCATCTGAACCCCAAATGAAGGCGTTTTCCCTTCATTCCAGGCCAAAATGGACAACAAGGTCCTGGGCTACAATCCCATGATTCCCAACCCCACGAGCTCCCAAGGACCTTGTGAAAAATTGCCTAAATTTCCCAAAAATTCCTAAAATTTCCAAAAATTCCCATCTGCACCCCAAATGAAGTTGTTCTCTCTTCCTTCCAGGCCAAAATGGATAATAAGGTTCTGGGCTACAATCCCATCATTCCCAATCCCATGAGCTCCCAAGGACCTTGTGAAAAATTGCCTAAATTTCCCAAAAATTCCTAAAATTTCCCAAAAAATTCTATCTGCACCCCAAATGAAGGCATTTTCTCTTCATTCCAGGCCGAAATGGACAATGAGGTTCTGGGCTACAGTCCCATGAGCTCCAACCTCATGAGCTCCCAATCCCATGAGCTCCCAATCCCAACTCCATGAGCTCCCAAGGACCTTGGAAAAAATTCCCAAAATTTCCCAAAAAATTCCCATCTGCACCCCAAACGAAGGCGTTTTCCCTTCATTCCAGGCCAAAATGGACAACGAGGTCCTGGGCTACAATCCCATCATTCCCAATCCCATGAGTTCCCAAGGACCTTGGAAAAAATTCCCAAAAATTCCCTTCTGCACCCCAAATGAAGGTGTTTTCCCTTCCTCCCAGGCCAAAATGGACAACGAGGTCCTGGGCTACAATCCATGATTCCCAACCCCATGAGCTCCCAATCCCAACTCCATGAGCTCCCAAGGACCTTGTGAAAAATTCCCTAAATCTCCCAAAAATTCCCTAAAATTCCCAAAAATTCCCATCTGCACCCCAAACGAAGGCGTTTTCCCTTCCTTCCAGGCTAAAATGGACAACGAGGTTCTGGGCTACAATCCCATGATTCCCAATCCCATGAGTTCCCAAGGACCTTGGAAAAAATTCCCTAAATTTCCCAAAAATTCCCTAAAATTTCCCAAAAAATTCCTTTCTGCACCCCCAATGAAGGCGTTTTCCCTTCTTCCCAGGCCAAAATGGACAATGAGGTCATGGGCTACAAGAACCTTGTAAAAAATTCCCTAAATTTCCCAAAAATTCCCATCTGCACCCCAAATGAAGTTGTTTTCCCTTCTTCCCAGGCCAAAATGGACAACGAGGTCCTGGGCTACAATCCCATGAGCTCCCATTCCCAACCTCATAAACTCCCAAGGACCTTGGAAAAAATTCTCTAAATTTCAAAAAAATTCTCTAAATTTCCAAAAAAATTCCGTTCTGCACCCCAAATTAAGTTGTTTTCTCTTCCTTCCAGGCCAAAATGGACAACGAGGTCCTGGGCTACAATCCCATGAGCTCCAACCCCATAAACTCCCAAGGACCTTGGAAAAAATTCCCTAAATTTCCCAAAAATTCTCTAAATTTCCCAAAAATTCCCTTCTGCACCCCAAATGAAGGCGTTTTCCTTTCATTCCAGGCCAAAATGGACAACAAGGTCCTGGGCTACAATCCCATGATTCCCAACCCCATGAGCTCCCGTTCCCAATCCCATGAGCTCCCAAGGACCTTGTGAAAAATTCCCTAAATTTCCCAAAAATTCCCATCTGCACCCCAAACGAAGGCGTTTTCCCTTCCTTCCAGGCCAAAATGGACAACGAGGTCCTGGGCTACAAGGACCTGGCTGCCATCCCCAAGGACAAAGCCATCCTGGACATCGAGCGCCCCGACCTGATGATCTACGAGCCCCACTTCACCTACTCGCTGATGGAGCACGTGGAGCTGCCCCGGAGCCGCGAGGTGAGCGGGAATTCCCCGGGAATTTTGGGAGAATCCCACCTGGAGAGGAGGGACGGCCGCGGTGGAGCAGAATTCTAGAAAAATAGGGAAAAAATTCCGGCAGAAAAATAGCAAAAATTCATGAAAATTCGTTGTAATTCGTAACAGGGCGTGAAGGTTTTTCAAGTTGTTAGAATTCAGTAAACAGCATTGAGTTAATTAAAATCAATGCAAATTAATTCAAAATGGAATTAAAATTAATTGAAGTAGAATGGATAAAAATGAAATATAATAAATCAAAATGAAATTAATAGAATTTTATTATAAATAAAATAATAAATTTAAAAAAAATTAAAAATAGAAGGATCACTGAGCTGGAATAGAATTCTAGAATAATATGAAAAAAATCCAGCACAAAAATAGCTAAAATTGATTTAAATTCATTATTATTTGTAATAGTTCCTGAGGGCTATTGAAATTGCTAAGATTCAGTAAAAAAACATTAAATTAATTAAAATTCAGTAAAATTAGTTAAAAATCAAATTTAAATGTATTTTTTTCAAGTTGTTAGAATTCAGTAAACAGCATTGAGTTAATTAAAATCAATGCAAATTAATTCAAAATTGAATTAAAATTAATTGAAGTAGAATGAATAAAAATGAAATATAATAAATCAAAATGAAATTAATAGAAATTTATTATAAATAAAATAATAAATTTTTAAAAAATTAAAAATAGAAGGATCACTGAGCTGGAATAGAATTCTAGAATAATATGAAAAAAATCCAGCACAAAAATAGCTAAAATTGGTTTAAATTCATTATAATTTGTAATAGTTCCTGAGGGTTATTAAAATTCCTAAGATTCAGTAAAAAAACATTAAATTAATTAAAATTCAGTAAAATTAGTTAAAAATTAAATTTAAATGTATTAAAATAAAGTGAATAAAAATGAAATATAATAAATCATAAAGAAATTAATAGAATTTTATTATAAATAAAATAATAAATTTAAAAAAAATTAAAAATAGAAGGATCACTGAGCTGGAATAGAATTCTAGAATAATATGAAAAAAATCCAGCACAAAAATAGCTAAAATTTATTTAAATTCATTATAATTTGTAATAGTTCCTGAAGGTTATTAAAATTGCTAAGATTCAGTAAAAAACCATTAAATTAATTAAAATTCAGTAAAATAAAGTGAATAAAAATAAAATATAATAAATCACAAAGAAATTAATGGAATTTTATTATAAATAAAATAATAGATTTTTAAAAATTAAAAACTAGAAGGATCACCGAGCTGGAATAGAATTCTAGAATAATATGAAAAAATGCCAGCAGAAAAATAGCTAAAATTTATTAAAATTCTTTATAATTTGTAACAGTTCCTGAAGGTTATTAAAATTTTTAGGATTCAGTGAAAACAATTAAATTAATTAAAATTCAGTAAAATTAATTTGAAATTAAATTTAAATTGATTAAAATAAAAAAAATAAAAATAAAATTAAAAATCAATTGGAAATAAATGAATCAAGTCTTATTATAAATAAAATAACATTTCGTAATGATAATATTTAAATATGTTTAATACTATATTAAGTCATTATATAATTTATATTTTATTATATTACATTACATTATATTTTATTATGTTACATTATGTTATGTTATATTATCTTACATTATAACGTGATGTAATATAATATAATTGAATGTATTACATTATATTACATTACATTATATTACATTACATTACATTATATTACATTACATTACATTTAGTTATATTACATTACATTATATTATATTACATTACATTTAATTATATTACATTATATTACATTACATTACATTTAGTTATATTACATTATATTACATTATATTACATTACATTTAATTATATTACATTATATTACATTACATTACATTTAGTTATATTACATTATATTACATTATATTACATTATATTACATTATATTACATTATATTACATTATATTACATTATATTACATTTAGTTATATTACATTATATTACATTACATTATATTACATTACATTATATTACATTACATTATATTACATTACATTACATTTAATTATATTACATTATATTACATTACATTACATTTAGTTATATTACATTATATTACATTACATTAATTATATTATATTACATTATATTAATTATATTATATTTATATTTTTAATATTATTTTATAACATCATAATATTTTATATTTATAAAAATCAAATTAAAATCAATTAAAAATAAATTAAAATTCCTTCAATCCTTGCCTCCTGCAGCGCTCCCTGTCTCCCAAATCCATGTCTCCTCCTCCGTCTCCAGAGGTGAGTCCTGGCCCTGCTGGGCTGTGTGGGGAGGGGGCGGTGCTGAACTGGGGGGGCTCTCGCTGACCCCGATGCCGTTTTCCCGCAGGTGATCCGGGAGTGGCTGGAGAGCCGCCCCCCCAGCAGCGCCGCGCTGCCCCCCTCGCGCCAGGGCCCTGCTCCCACGCGCAGCAGCGTCCAGCACTTCCACCGCCCCGGTACCGCCCCGGGACCCCAGAACGGGACCCCAGCACTGCCCCAGGCAGCCGGGCCCGCCTGGAGCCTCCTCCCAACCCCATCAGCTTCCATTCCCAACCCCATAAATTCCCATTCCTAATCCCATCAGCTCCCAACCCCATGAGCTTCCATTCCCAACCCCATGAGCTTCCATTCCCAACCCCATAAACTCCCATTCCTAATCCCATCAGCTCCCAATCCCATGAGTTCCCATTCCCAATCCCATGAGCTTCCAACCCCACAAATTCCCATTCCCAGCCCCACAAATTTCCATTCCCAACCCCACAAATTCCCATTCCCAATCCCATGAGCTTCCAACCCCACAAATTCCCATTCCCAACCCCACAAATTCCCATTCCCAATCCCATGAGCTCTCATTCCCAAACCCATAAACTCCCACTCTTAACCCCATGAGCTCCCATTCCCAACCTCCCAACCTCCCATTCCTAACCCTAACCCTAACCATTCCCAACCTCATGAGCTCCCATTCCCAACCCCATAAGCTCCCATTCCCAGGCCCATAAATTCCCACTCTCAACCCCATGAGTTCCCATTCCCAATTTCATCAACTGCCATTCCCAACACCCATGAGTTCCCAATCCCATGAGTTCCCATTCCCAACCACATAAATTCCCATTCCCAACCCCATGAGCTCCCAGGCCCATAAATTCCCATTCCCAGGCCCATAAATTCCCATTCCCAACCCCATGAGCTCCCAATCCCATGAGTTCCCACTCCCAATCCCATCTCATTCCCGACCCCATGAGCTCCCAATCCCATGAGTTCCCATTCCCAACCCCAAATCCCCCTTTTCTCCAGAGACCGACACCACAGAGCTCAACATTTACAAGAAGCCCCCGATCTACCGGCAGAAAGGTGAGTGTGGGGAGGCGAGGGGTCCATCCCACGGGATGGGGCACCCCGGGATGCCCCCTCACCCCACCCTGTGCCCCCAGACCACCATTCCAGTGCCCACCACGGGAAGCATCTCATCGAGGACCTGATCATCGAATCCTCCAAATTCCCGGCGGCGCAGCCCCCAGATCCCAACCAGCCCGCCAAGATCGAGACCGACTACTGGCCCTGCCCGCCCTCGCTGGCCGTCGTGGGTAGGTGGGACCAGGGCGGTCTTGGTCTTCCCTCCTGGACACCCCAGGGGGGGCTGGGGATGGCTGGAATGTCCCTTTGTCCCTTTTCCCGCAGAGACGGAGTGGAGGAGGAGGATGGCGTCCAAGAGAGGGGAGGAGGAGGATGAGGATCTGACAGAGGAGATGAAGAACCTGCGGGAGCTCCAGAGGCAGGAGCTGAGCAAGGTCAGGGGCGGGTGGGAGCTCTGAGGGGCCGGGGGGGCTGGCACTGATCACAACGGGGGTCCCTTGGTGGCACCTCTGAGGTGACACTGGCACCGATCACAATGTGGGTCCCTTGGTGGCACCTCTGAGGTGACACTGGCACCAATTCCAATGGGGGTCCCTTGGTGGCACCTCTGAGGTGACACTGGCACCGATCCCAACGGGGGTCCCTTGGTGGCAGCTCTGAGGGGCTGGGGGCGATGACACCGATCCAAATGGGGGTCCCTTGGTGGCACCTCTGGGGGTCACCGGCACAGATCTCAATGGGGGTCCCTTGGTGGCAGCTTTGGAGGGCTGGGGGTGTGATGGCACCCATCCCAAAGAGGGTTGGGATAAAAATAAAATAAAATAAAATTAAATTAAGAATAAATTCAAATTAATTCAGTCCTCGGTGGCAGCTCTGAGGGGCTGGGGGTGCTGGCATTTATCCCAACGGGGGTCCCTTGGTGGCAGCTTTGGGGGACCGGGGGGACAGTGGCACCCATCCCAACAGGGATAAAAATAAAATAAAATAAAATAAAATTAAATTAAAATAAATTAAAAATAAATTAAAATTAATTCAATCCTTGGTGGCACCTCTGGGTTCCCAGGTCACCTCCAACCTCGGGAAGCTGATCCTGAAGGAGGAGATGGAGAAGTCGCTCCCGATCCGGAGGAAAACTCGCTCACTGCCGGACCGGACGCCTTTCCACACCTGTGAGTGGGACGGTTCTCCTGAATCCTGCCCTTTCCTTCCTCACCTCTGGGAGCCTGCACCCCCATTCTGCACCCCAAATCCTGCCTGCACACCCCAAATCCTGTCTGTACATCTCAAACCCCACCTGCACCTCTCAAATCCCGCCTGTACATCCCAAATCCCGCCTGTACATCTCAAACCCCACCTGTAAATCCCAAATCCCGCCTGTAAATCCCAAATCCCACCTGCACACCCCAAATCCTTCAAATCCTTCCTGTACATCTCAAACCCCACCCGCACCTCTCAAATCCCGCCTGTAAATCCCAAATCCCACCTGTACACCCCAAATCCTTCCTGTAAATCCCAAATCCCGCCTGTACATCCCAAATCCCACCCGCACCTTTCAAATCCCACCTGCACACCCCAAATCCCGCCTGTACATCCCAAATCCCATCTACACCTCTCAAACCCCACCTGTACCCCCTAAATCCCACCTGCACCCCTGCTCATCCCTGCCCATCCCTGATGGTCCCTGCCTGTCCCCAAATGTCCCTAAAGGTCCCTAAAAGTCCCGGCCCATCCCTGATGGTCCCTGCCCATCCGTGTCCATCCCTGCCTGGCCCTCAATGTCCCTAAAGCTCCCTGCCTGTCCCTGGTGGTCCCTCCCCATCCCTGCCTGTCCCTAAATGTCCCCAAGGGTCCCTGATGGTCCCTGATGGTCTCTGCCTGTCCCTACAGGTTTCTGCCTGTCCCTGCCCATCCCTAAAGGTCCCTAAAGATTCCTGCCTGTCCCTGCTAATTCCTAAAGGTCCCTGTCCTTCCCTGCCTGTCCTTAAATGTCCCTAAAGGTCCCTGCCTATCCCTGATGGTCCCTGCCTGTTCCTGTCCATCCCTGAAGGTCCCTAAATGTCCCTAAAGGTCCCTGCCCATCCCTGCCTGTCTCTAAATGTCCCCAAGGGTCCCTGACGGTCTTTCCCTGTCCCTAAATGTCCCTGATGGTCTCTGCCCATCCCTGCCCATTCCTGGTGGTCTCTGCCCATCCCTGCCTGTCCCTAAAGGTCCCTGCCTATTCCTAAATGTCCCCAAAGGTCCCTGACCATCTCTGCCTGTCCCTAAATATCCCTAAAGGTCCCTGCCCATCCCTGCCTGTCCCTAAATGTCCCTTCCCGTCCCTAAATGTCCCCAAAGATCCCTGCCCATCCCTGCCTATCCCTAAATGTCCCCAAATATCCCTGACTCTCTCTGCCCGTCCCTAAATGTCCCCAAATGTCCCTGACTCTCTCTGCCCATCCCTGCCCATCCCTAAATGTCCCCAAAGGTCCCTGACCATCTCTGCCTGTCCCTAAATATCCCTAAAGGTCCCTGCCCATCCCTAAATGTCCCCAAATGTCCCTGACGCTCTCTGCCCATCCCTGCCCGTCCCTAAATGTCCCCAAATGTCCCTGCCCGTCCCTGCCTGTCCCCAAAGGTCCCTGCCCATCCCTGCCCATCCCTGCCTGTCCCCAAATGTCCCTGACGCTCTCTGCCCATCCCTGCCCGTCCCTAAATGTCCCCAAATGTCCCTGCCCGTCCCTGCCTGTCCCCAAATGTCCCTGACACTCCCTGCCCATCCCTAAATGTCCCCAAAGGTCACTGCCCATCCCTGCCTGTCCCCAAATGTCCCTGACACTCCCTCCCCATCCCTAAATGTCCCTAAATGTCCCCAAAGGTCCCTGCCCATCCCTGCCTGTCCCCAAATGTCCCTGACGCTCTCTGCCCATCCCTGCCCATCCCTAAATGTCCCCAAAGGTCCCTGCCCGTCCCTGCCTGTCCCCAAATGTCCCTGACGCTCTCTGCCCATCCCTGCCCATCCCTAAATGTCCCCAAAGGTCCCTGCCCATCCCTGCCCGTCCCTGCCTGTCCCCAAATGTCCCTGACGCTCTCTGCCTCTCTCCCAGCCCTCCACACGAGCTCCAAGAGCTCCTCCCTCCCCGCCTCGGGCCGGAGCACCCTCACCCGGGTAAGGGTCCGTCAGCTGCGCCCCCCCTCCCACACTGCCGGGGTCACCCCAGCCCGGGGTCACCCTGCTCAGGGGTTTGGGGTCACCCCTGTGACCCTGTCCCCGTGTCTGTCCCTGTCCCCGTGTCTGTCCCTGTCCCCGTGTCTGTCCCCGTGTCTGTCCCTGTCCCCGTGTCTGTCCCCACAGCTGCAGTCAGCAGAGTTCGGCTCGGCCGGGAGCGAGAAGGGGAGCCCTGGTGAGGGGCAGGGCAGGGGCTGGGGGTGTCCTGGGGATCCCCATCCTTGGGGATGTGGGGATGTCCCTGGGGATGTGGGGGTGTCCTGGGCATGTCCCCAGGAATTTGGGGGTGTTCTGGGAGATGTGGGGGTGTCCCTGAGAATGTGGGGGTGTCCTGGGGGTGTCCTGGTGATGTGGGGGTGTCCCTGAGAATGTGGGGGTGTCCTGGGGATGCTGGAATATCCTGCAGAGATGTGGGAGAGTTTTTGGGACGTGGGGGTGTCCCTGAGAATGTGGGGGTGAGCCCGGGTAGTTTGGGGGTGTCCCTGGGGGTCTGGGGCTGTCCTGGGGATGTGGGGGTGATCCTAAGAGTGTGGGGGTGTCCTGGGGATGTCCCTGGGAATGTGGGGGTGTCCCTGGAGATGTGGGGTTGTCCTGGGAGATGTGTGGGTGATGCCGGCTGGTGTGGGGGTGTCCTGGGGATGAGGGGGTGTCCCAGGGAATGTCCCCAGGAATGTGGGGGTGTCCTGGGAGTGTGGGGATGAGGGGGATGTCCCTGGGGATCTGGGGGTGTCCTGGGGGTGTTTCCAGGAATGTGGGGGTGTCCTGAGAGCTGTGGGTGTATCCCTGGGAATGTGGGGGTGTCCTGGAGGTGTCCCAGGGGATGTTCCCGGGTATGTGGGGGTGTCCTGGGAGATGTGGGTGTGTCCCTGGGAATGTGGGGGTGTCCTGGAGGTGTCCCAGGGGATGTTCCCGGGTATGTGGGGGTGTCCTGGGAGATGTCAATGTGTCCCTGGGAATGTGGGGGTGTCCTGGAGGTGTCCCAGGGGATGTTCCCGGGTATGTGGGGGTGTCCCAGGGGATGTTCCCGGGTATGTGGGGGTGTCCTGGGAGATGTGGGTGTGTCCCTGGGAATATGGGGGTGTCCTGGAGGGACGCTGCAATGTCCTGGGGGATGTGGGGGTGTCCCCAGGGTCTGGGATGGGTGGCACAAGCCCGGGCCCAGCAGAATGTGGGGGCACAGCAGGGTCCCCAGGCTGAGCCCCCTCCCCTCTTCCACAGCCCTGCAGGTAAGAGCTCACCTGGACACGGACACCGAGACCCAGGAGACGGTGACGGGGGCGGGGACACCGGGGCCACCTCGGGGACGGTCCCTGGAGGGGGGAGGGACCTGGAGCCCCACTGACCTGGGCTTCAGGAGGGGGGAATTGGGGTGGGGGCCGGGCTGACCTCAGGCTTTGCCCCCCCAGAACGGCCAGCGCGGGCGGATGGACAGAGGGAACTCCCTGCCCAGCATGCTGGAGCAGAAGGTGAGAGGGGCTGGGGGCTTGGAGGGGGCTGGGGGGCTTGGGTGGGGCTTGGGGGGCTTGGGTGGCGTCAGGAGGGGGCTTGAGTGGGGTTTGGATGGGGTTTGGATGGGGCTGGGGGGCTTGGGTAGGGTCAGGGAGGGCTTGGATGGGGCTGGGGGGGCTTGGATGGGGTTTGGATGGGGCTGGGGGGGATTGGGTGGCGTCAGGAGGGGTTTGGATGGGGTCAGGGGGGGCTTGGGTGGGGTTTGGATGGGGCTTGGATGGGGTCAGGGGGGGCTTGGGTGGCGTCAGGAGGGGGCTTGGGTGGGGCTTGGATGGGGTCAGGGGGGGCTTGGATGGGGTCGGGGGGGCTTGGGTGGGGTCAGGGGGAGCTTGGATGGGGTTTGGATGGGATTTGGACGGGGCTGGGGGGCTTGGGTGGGGTTTGGATGTGGTTTGGATGGGGCTTGGGTGGGGCTTGGATGGGGCCAGGGGAGGCTCTCACAGCCCCGTGCCCCCCCCCCCCGTTAGAAAAATGAATCCACAAACATCAGAGGTTTATGTCCAAAAAGGGCTGCTCTGTGTCCTAAAAAGGGAGGATGCAGCCTCCCTTTTTATCCCAATTTCCAGCCACATTTCCCTTCTCTCTTTCCCCATTTCTGAGGTGCTTGAGAGGTTCAGACTCCCCAGAGCACCTGATCCTAAAGATTCCCCTATAATGTATAAAACCCTCCCTTTAATTCGAATTCTTATGGAATTGAGGGGTTTTTCCCCATTTTTTCCCCACTTGAGAGGTTCAGACTTCCCAGAACACCTGATCCCAAAGATTCCCCTCTAATGCATAACCCTCCCTTTTAGTTTTTTAATTCTTACAGAATTTAGGGGTTTTTCTTCCCCATTGTTTCTTTCCTCTTTCAAAATCTAATTTCGTTTATCAGCAAACCTAAAGTTTATTTGTGTTAGGAAAATTAACCCACAAACACCAGAGGTTTATGTCCAAAAAGGAGACAGAGGAGTCATTTTTGACTTTATTCCAATCAAGGCAGAGGCCATGGGGCATCCCCTGGGGTCTCTCAGATTTTTGGAGGACTCAGCCTCCCTTTTTATCCCAATTTCCAGCCACATTTCCCTTCTCTCTTTCCCCATTTCTGAGGTGCTTGAGAGGTTCAGACTTCCCAGAGCACCTGATCCTAAAGATTCCCCTATAATGTATAAAACCCTCCCTTTTAATTTGAATTCGTATGGAATTTAGGGGGTTTTCCCCATTTTTTCCCCACTTGAGAGGTTCAGACTCCCCAGAACACCTGACCCCAAAGATTCCCCTCTAATGTATAACCCTCCCTTTTAGTTTTTTAATTCTTACGGAATTTAGGGGTTTTTCTTCCCCATTGTTTCTTTCCTCTTTCAAAATCTAATTTCATTTATCAGCAAACCTAAAGTTTATTTGTGTTAGGAAAATGAATCCACAAACACCAGAGGTTTGTGTCCAAAAAGGAGACAGAGGAGTCCTTTGACTTTATTCCAGTACAGGCAGAGGCCATGGGGCATCCCCTGGGGTCTCTCAGATTTTTGGAGGACTCAGCCTCCCTTTTTATCCCAATTTCCAGCCACATTTCCCTTCTCTCTTTCCCCATTTCTGAGGTGCTTGAGAGGTTCAGACTTCCCAGAGCACCTGATCCTAAAGATTCCCCTATAATGTATAAAACCCTCCCTTTTAATTTGAATTCGTATGGAATTTAGGGGGTTTTCCCCATTTTTTCCCCACTTGAGAGGTTCAGACTCCCCAGAACACCTGACCCCAAAGATTCCCCTCTAATGTATAACCCTCCCTTTTAGTTTTTTAATTCTTACGGAATTTAGGGGTTTTTCTTCCCCATTGTTTCTTTCCTCTTTCAAAATCTAATTTCATTTATCAGCAAACCTAAAGTTTATTTGTGTTAGGAAAATGAATCCACAAACACCAGAGGTTTGTGTCCAAAAAGGAGACAGAGGAGTCCTTTGACTTTATTCCAGTACAGGCAGAGGCCATGGGGCATCCCCTGGGGTCTCTCAGATTTTTGGAGGACTCAGCCTCCCTTTTTATCCCAATTTCCAGCCACATTTCCCTTCTCTCTTTCCCCATTTCTGAGGTGCTTGAGAGGTTCAGACTCCCCAGAACACCTGATCCTAAAGATTCCCCTTTAATGTATAAAACCCTCCCTTTTAATTTTTAATTCTTACAGATTTTAGGGGCTTTTCCTTATTTCTGAGGTACCTGAGAGGTTCAGACTCCCTGATCCCAAAGATTCCCCTCTAATGTATAACCCTCCCTGTTAGTTTTAAATTCTTGTGGAATTTTGGGGGTTTTCCCCATTTCTGAGGTACTTGAGACTCAGAAATGGGGAAATTCAGACTCCCCAGAACACCTGATCCCAAAGATTCCCCTCTAATGTATAACCCTCCCTTTTAGTTTTAAATTCTTATGGAATTTAGGGGGTTTCCCCCATTTCTGAGGTACTTGAGAGGTTCAGACTTCCTGGAACACCTGATCTCGAAGATTTCCCTCTAATGTGTAAAACCCTCCTTTTAATTTTTAATTCTTGCTGAATTTAGAGGTTTCTCTCCCCCACTGTTTCTTTCATCTTTCAATATCCAATTTCATTTTCCAGCAAACCTAAAGTTTATTTCTAAAAGCAAATCTCTTTTTCCATTCATCAATCAGTGGAATCCTTCCCATGGTTTCTTTTACCTCCCAGTGCCGGTTTTATCAGACCCAGGCCCTGTTTATAACCACAAATCCCCCTTCCTCTGCCCCCTTTTTGCAGATCTACCCCTACGAGATGCTGATGGTGACGAACCGAGGCCGAGTGAAGCTCCCGCCCGGCGTGGACAGGACCAGGCTGGAGGTGGGGGCTGTGCCACCCTCGGGGGGGCTCTGGGTGTGTCACTGTCCCCAGTGGGTGTCACCATCCCCCGTGGGTGTCACTGTCCCCAGTGGGTGTCACCATCCCCTGTCCCTGTCACCATCTGCTCTCCGTGTCACCACCCCCTGTGGGTGTCACCATCCCCTGTGGGTGTCACCATCCCCTGTGGGTGTCACCATCCCCTGTCCGTGTCACCATCCCCTGTGGGTGTCACCATCCCTGTCCATGTCACCATCCCCTGTCCATGTCACCATCCCCAGTGCGTGTCACCGTCCCCTGTCCATGTCACCATCCCCAGTGGGTGTCACCATCCCCTGTAGGTGTCACTCACCATCCCCAGTGGGTGTCACCATCCCCAGTGGGTGTCACCGTCCCCTGTCCATGTCACCATCCCCAGTGGGTGTCACCATCCCCTGTGGGTGTCACCATCCCCTGTCCATGTCACCGTCCCCTGTCCATGTCACCATCCCCAGTGGGTGTCACCATCGCCTGTGGGTGTCACCGTCCCCTGTGGGTGTCACCATCCGCTGTGGGTGTCACCATCCCCAGTGGGTGTCACCATCCCCTGTCCGTGTCACCATCCCCTGTGGGTGTCACCATCCCCTGTGCGTGTCACCATCCCCGTCCGTGTCACCACCCCCTGTCCGTGTCACCATCCCCAGCGAGTGTCACCCATCCCCTGTGGGTGTCACCACCCCCTGTCCATGTCACCATCCCCTGTGGGTGTCACCATCCCCTGTGGGTGTCACCATCCCCAGTGGGTGTCACCATCCCCTGTCCGTGTCACCATCCCCTGTCCATGTCACCATCCCCTGTGGGTGTCACCATCCCCTGTCCATGTCACCACCCCCTGTGAGTGTCACCATCCCCTGTGGGTGTCACCACCCCTTGTCCATGTCACCGTCCCCTGTCCATGTCACCATCCCCAGTGGGTGTCACCATCGCCTGTGGGTGTCACCATCCCCTGTGGGTGTCACCATCCCCAGTGGGTGTCACCACCCCCTGTCCGTGTCACCATCCCCTGTGGGTGTCACCGTCCCCTGTGGGTGTCACCACCCCCTGTCCGTGTCACCGTCCCCTGTGGGTGTCACCGTCCCCTGTGGGTGTCACCATCCCCTGTCCATGTCACCATCCCCAGTGGGTGTCACCATCCCCCGTGGGTGTCACCATCCCCTGTGGGTGTCACTCACCGTCCCCAGTGGGTGTCACCATCCCCAGTGGGTGTTACCATCCGCTGTGGGTGTCACCATCCCCAGTGGGTGTCACCGTCCCCAGTGGGTGTCACCGTCCCCTGTCCGTGTCACCCATCCCCAGTGCGTGTCACCGTCCCCCGTGGGTGTCACCATCCCCTGTCCGTGTCACCATCCCCAGTGGGTGTCACCATCCCCAGTGGGTGTCACCGTCCCCCGTGGGTGCCACCGTCCCCAGTGGGTGTCACCATCCCCTGTCCATGTCACCCATCCCCAGTGGGTATCACCACCCCCTGTCCGTGTCACCACCCCCTGTGGGTGTCACCGCCCCCTGTCCGTGTCACCATCCCCTGTCCGTGTCACCACCCCCTGTGGGTGTCACCGTCCCCTGTCCATGTCACCATCCCCTGTCCGTGTCACCATCCCCTGTCCGTGTCACCATCCCCTGTGGGTGTCACCATCCCCAGTGGGTGTCACCACCCCCTGTCCGTGTCACCGTCCCCTGTCCACGTCACCATCTCCTGTCCATGTCACCATCCCCAGTGGGTGTCACCACCCCCTGTCCGTGTCACCGTCCCCTGTCCGTGTCACCACCCCCTGTGGGTGTCACCATGCCCTGTCCCCTCCCGCAGCGCCACCTGTCCCCCGAGGATTTCCTGAAGGTGTTCGAGATGTCGCCGGAGGAGTTCGGCAAGCTGGCGCTGTGGAAGCGCAACGAGCTGAAGAAGAAAGCCTTCCTCTTCTGAGTCCTCCTCCTCCTCCTCCTCCTCCTGCTCCTCCTCCTCCTCGGGCCAGCTCCGTCCGTGTCGCGCCGTGGAACCGCTTCAGGGCTCCCCGCCGGTTTTTATTGGGGTCCCCCCGCCCCAGCTCCTCCAGCCCCCCCAAATCTGCGCCCCCCGCTTCAATCCTGGTGGGCACGGTTGGGCCACGGGGCTCTCTGGGCTTTGTGCCCACCCTGGGAATGTGCCTGGCTCTGCTTTCAGCCCCCTGGCGGCACTGAGGGGGTGATGGGGGGGTCCCCTCCTCCCTGAGGGTCTGCAGCCCCCATCTGCCACCCCGAGGTGCCCCCCGAGGTGCCCCCGTGCCCCACCCCGAGGCTTGGGAAGAGCCCACACTGCCAGACCGACCTTCTCCCAGCAAAGCCGGGCCCAAATCCCAGCTTAACCCCCCCGGCTCTGTCCCCCCCGGTCCCTCCTGTGCCAGGAGCTGCAGGGGGCACCCCAAGGACACTGCCAGCCCTGAGGGGCAGGGGGAGCACCCTGGGGGCGGCAGGGTTGGGATGGGGGGTCCCTGGAGCATCTCCAGCTATGGATGGGGGGGGATGCAGGGGGTGATGATTTGGGGGGCACTGGGGTGATGATTTGGGGGGCACTGTGGTGATGATTTGGGGGGCACTGTGGTGATGATTTGGGGGGCACAGGAGCGATGATTTCGGGAGCACAGGAGGGCACTGAGGTGATGATTTGGAGGGCACTGAGGTGATGATTTGGAAGGCACTGGGACAATGATTTGGAGGGCACTGGGACAATGATTTGGAGGGCACTGGGACAATGATTTGGAGGGCACTGGGACAATGATGTGGAGGGCACTGGGGCGATGATCCGGAGGGCACAGGAGGGCGCTGGAGCGATGATTTGAGCACTCAGCCGGCACGGATGGATTGGAGCAGGGCACGGCTCGATGGGCGCTCACCGAGGCTGGCCGCCGTCCCTGTCCCCTCCCGGACAGGGCTCGGCACCGGGCAGCACCTTCCCTTCCCCGCCTCCCCTCTCCAGGCACACGTTTTGGGCAGGACCCCTCTCTCCCTGCACCCCCCGACCCCTCCACGCTCCCCGGTTTTTTGTTTCCAGCCACTTTCCAGCCGCTAGACCTTGTTGGGATGTAAAGAATGTAATTTATCGGGAATTCACTGGCCCATACTTGCCTTTCACTGCTACAAACGACATATCTATAAATATATATATAAATATGGGTTGTTTTCGGACTGGACTACAGTGATTCACTTTCTCTGTTTTTGTTAGAGTTTATTTTATTTGCTGGTGTCAGAGAATCCGCGTGAGAGTGATTTTTTGCTTACAATTAAAGGTGAAATGGCTTTATCCAGCCCGGCTCCGCAGCTTTGCTTCCCCCTCTCGCCCAAAAATCCCCCCGGGCCCGCGGCCGGGTCCCTGCAGATGGCGGTGCTGCTCCGAGGAGGACGCGGAGCCTTCCCCGCCTTCCTCCCGCCCCGGCCGGGCTGCGCTGGGGGCCCGCAGGGCGTGTGCGAGCCGAGCCGGGCCGGGACAGCTCGGGCCCGGGCCCGGTCCCCATCCGGTACCGATCCCCATCCCACTCCCGATCCCCATCCCGGTCCTTGTCCTGATCCCGATCCCGTTCCTCGTCTGGATCCCGATCCCGGCTCCGGTACCAGTCCCGGTACCGATCCCGATCCCTGTCCTAATTCTGATCCCGATCCCGATCCCGTTCCTCGTCTGGATCCCGATCCCGGCTCCGGTCCCGATCCCGATCCCTGTCCTAATTCTGATCCCCATCCCGCTCCCGTTCCCCGTCTGGATCCCGATCTCGGTCCCCGGTCCCTGTCCTGATCCCGATCCCGCTTCCGGTACTTGTCCCTGTCCCGATCCCGATCCCCATCCCTGTCCTGATCCAGATCCCGATCCAGATCCCAATCCCGATCCCGATCCCCGTCAGGATCCCGGTCCCGGTCCCTGTCCTAATCCTGATCCCGGTCCCGGTCCCTGTCCTGATTCCGGTCCCGATCCCAATCCTGCTCCTGGTCCCCATCTCAATCCCGGTCCGGATCCCGATCCCAATCCCGGTCTGGATCCCGATCCCGGCGCGATGTGATCGCTCCCGCACCATGTCCCGGCAGCGAGGTACGGGGGGGGGGCTCCGACGGGATGCGAGGCCGGGGGGCACCAACCCCAAACCGGGGGGAAAAGGGGGGTTCAGCCCTGGGGGAGGCTGAGGGGGAGCCCGTGGGGGCGGGGAAGGGAAAAGGGGGTTCGGGAAAAGAGGAGGGGGTGAAAAGGGGGGGTGGGAGGCGCGGGGGGCTGCGGGGTCAGAGCTGGAGGGGAAGGAGGGACGGGGTGTCCCCCCGACATTGGGGTGTCCCCCCCGACACTGGGGTGTCCCCCCCGACATTGGGGTGTCCCCCCCGACATTGGGGTGCCATGTCAGGCTCGGGGGGCCCAGCGCCCCTTCCAGCCCCCTCCCAGGGGCAATCTGGGGGTGCAGCAGCCGCGGGGGGAGCGTCCCCACCCTGCAGCCGTGGCCTGGAGCCTCCGCACATGACGAGTCACGCTGTGGCCGCGAGCAGCTCCCCGCAGCCTCCTCTGAGTCATCCCGCGCTGGGCCCGAGCCACCCGCGGGGTCCCCCGGGTCACCTCCACACCCCCGCGCCCCCCGGGCGCCTCGTGGCTCGGATAAAACCCCAAAAGGCTGCCCCGAATCGCCGCCAGCGCTGGCATCACCCGGGCGCTGCCGTTCCCGTGGCATCCCCGGGGCCGCGAGGATGAGGAAGATGGCACGAGGGTGAGGAAGATGGCACGAGGATGATGATGATGATGATGATGATGCCACCGTGCCGCGGGCGGGAGCTTTGCTAGGAGACGCTCTGTGTGTGTTTGGGGGGCGTTTTCCTCCCGCCCCGCAGACCGAGGCTGATGTTTTCCATGCCGGCCGCTTTCCCTTGGCACGGCAGCGGGCACCGGGCACCGGGCCAGGGCTCAGGGCAGCCCCTGCAGCGGCTGCGGGCACGGCTGGGCACGGCTGGGCACGGATCGCTGCCCCAGCGGCCGGGGGAGGGCGCGGGGGGGGCGCAGCGAGGGCAAAAGGGTGAGAGAGAGGACGGAGATGTCATTGCCGAGGAATTCAGCCTGGGCGGAGGAGAGCAGAAAGGGAGGGAGGGGACGAGCCAGGCCCGCTGGCCAGGGGGGGACAGTCCCGTGTGCCCCACGCCGCCCGCAGGTCCCTCCAGCGCTCCCCTGCCCCAGCCCCCGCCGCTTTTCCCTCTGGGAGCTCTTCCCCCCCTTCCCTGCCCCGGTTTCCAGGGCAATCCAGATGTTTGGGCCCAACTCCGGCGTTGCTCGGCCCGGACTCAGCGCTGCCAGATGTTTCCTCTCCCCCCGGGCTGGGTGTGGGCTCCGCGTCCGGGGACGCGCGGAGGGGACGGGGGGACCCCGGTGCCAGCAGCTCCGGGCAGGGGAGGGGGCGTCACCCGGCCCTGGGACCGTGTGACATGGGGGGCTCCTTCCTCTACCTCACCCAGGGAGTGCCAGCGCCTTTTTGGGGTGCCACCGCCTTTTTGGGGTGCACCACACCCCTGTTAACACAGAGAAATTTGGGATTCATCCCCGTTAACCTGAAGAAATCTGGGATTCATCCCTGTTAACCTGCAGAAATTTGGGATTCATCCCTGTTAACCTGGAGAAATTTGGGATTCTTTCCCATTAACCCAGAGAATTCTGGGATTAATCCATGTTAACCCCGAGAAATTTGGGATTCATCCCCGTAAACCCAGAGAAATTTGGGATTCATCCCTGTTAACCTGGAGAAATTTAGGATTCATCCCTGTTAATCTGAAGAAATTTGAGATTCATCCCTGTTAACCCCGAGAAATTTGGGATTCATCCCTGTTAACTGGAAGAAATTTGGGATTCATCCATGTTAACCCGGAGAAAGTTGGGATTCATCTCTGTTAACCCAAAGAAATTTGGGATTCATCCCTGTTAACCTGGAGAAATTTGGGATTCATCCCTGTTAATCTGAAGAAATTTGAGATTCATCCCCGTAAACCCAGAGAAATTTGGGATTCATCCCTGTTAACTGGAAGAAATTTGGGATTCATCCCCATTAACCTGGAGAAATTTGGGATTCATCCCTGTTAACTGGAAGAAATTTGGGATTCATCCATGTTAAGCTGAAGAAATTTGAGATTCATCCCCGTTATCCTGGAGAAATTTGGGATTCATCCCTGTTAACCAAGAGAAATTTGGGATTCGTTCCCATTAACCTGAAAAAATTTAGGATTCATCCATGTTAAACTGGAGAAAGTTGGGATTCATCCCCGTTAACCTGGAGAAATTTGGGATTCATCCCCGTTAACCTGGAGAAATTTGGGATTCATCCCCATTAACCTGGAGAAATTTGGGATTCATCCATGTTAATCCTGAGAAATTTGGGATTCATCCCTGTTAACCCTGGAGAAAGTTGGGATTCATCCCCATTAACCTGGAGAAATTTGGGATTCGGCGATCTGGGGGTGTTGGTGTCACCTGTGGCGCTGCAGGTGCAGCATCGGCCGGTGGTGGCCTCGCTGGCACTGTCCCTTTCCAGCTGTGCGGTGGCACAGGGGCTCCAGCAGGGCCCGGGGTGCTCTGGGGACAGCTGGCACCAGTGCCAGGCCGTGGGTGTTTGATGCCAGAGCCCGGGGGGAGCCGGGCAGTGACCCTGGGGCACCGGGGGACATCTGCCCACTGTGGTGGTGGCACCTGGAGGTGCCCAGGGCGGGAGGGCCCTGCAGGAGCGGGGACAGACCGAGGGGACATCTGCCCACTGCGGTGGTGGCACCTGGAGGTGCCCAGGGCGGGAGGGCCCTGCAGGAGCGGGGACAGACCGAGGGCACTCCTGGTCCTGCCCTGCAGCACCTGCATGGACTCCAAACTGTCCCCACCGGGGACAGAGGGACAGAGGGACCTGCCCAGGCCTCTCGCGACACCGCGGGGTGGTGGCGGCGGTGCTGGCCCGGCCCTCCCGCTGTCCCTGCTGCGGGCACAAAGCAGCTCCTTGTCCCTCTGTCCTTCCCCGCCTGGCGCTGAGCCCCGACCCCTGTCCCTACCCTCGGCATTTCAGCCTTCATCAGCTGCTCCAGCCTGCCGGGGCTCCTCTTCCTCCTCATCTTCCTCATCCTCCTCCTCCTCCGCACGTGCAGCAGCAGCAGCAGCAGCCCCCGGTGCACCCGGGAACAAACCGGCTCTGTGAGCACAACAGAGGAGCCTTCATCCCCGCAGGGCCTCTCCTCATCCTCCCCCGGTGCCCCCGCGCCCGTCAATGGCCGCATTGTGCCCGCCTGGGGCAGGTGCAGCAGCAGGGCAGGGCTGGTGGGACCGGGCACGTACCCGCCATGGCATTGGGGACACCCCATGGCATCAGGGACACCCCATGGAATTGGGGACACCCCATGGCATCGGGGACACCCCATGGCATCGGGGACACCTCCTGGCATCGGGGACACCCCATGGAATTGGGGACACCCCATGGCATCGGGGACACCCCCATGGCATCGGGGACATCCCCTGACACTGGGGACACCCCATGGCATCGGGGACACCTCATGGCATTGGGGACTCCCCCATGGCATCGGGGACGCCCCCATGGCATCAGGGACTCCCCATGGAATTGGGATCCTCCTATGGCATTGGGATTCCCCTATGGCATCGGGGACACCTCTGTAGCATTAGGGACCCTTCATGGCATCGGGGACACCCCCAGGCATTGGGGACACCCCCTGGCACTGGGGACATCCCCATGGCATTGAGGACCCCCCCAAGGCATTGAGGACACCCCGTGGCATCGGGAGCACCCCACAGCATCAGGGACCCCCCACAGCATTGGGGACACCCCACAGCATCAGGGATCCCCCCTATGGCATTGAGGACCCCCATGGCATTAGGGACACCCTCAAGGCATTGAGGACCCCCCATGGCATTGGGGACACCTCCATGGCATTGAGGACACCCCCTGGCATTGGGGACACCCCCACAGCATCAGGGACCCCCCACAGCATTGGGGACACCCCCACAGCATCAGGGACCCCCCACAGCATTGGGGACCCCCCGGCCGTGCCCGTGCAGGAGGCAGGGCCGGTGCCGCCCCGCGGTGCTCTGGGTGTGCGGTGTCACGCTGCTGTCGCTGTCCCCTGCAGACCTGGACAAGCTGCTGTCGGACCTGCGCTCCTTCCTGCTCCTCCTGGACCGTGAGAGCCTCAGCGCCGCCGCTCGGGCCAAGAAGAGCTCGGTGTGGGAGCTGCTGGGGCGGCTGCAGGGCCCGGGTGAGTGCGGGGCTGGGGCTGTGTCTTGTACTGGACTGGTTAGTGAGAATCA